GGGAAAGAGAGGGGAGGAAAGAAGTGAGCCAGAGAGCAGACGATCAGAAGAATGAGACAGAGGAACAGCTGAACGGAACGGAGCCAGGTGAGAAGATTGGGGCACAGGAATTCTCATCCTTTTCTTCCCTTTGAAGCCCAATGAAGCGGAATCCACAGCACTGTGCAGAACGGAAACAGTTTGCCATTCCATTTCAGGTCAACCGAAGCGGGTCTTACTTTTCAATGGCGGCCTTGAAGTCGTCGACGGAGAGCTGCACGCCGATGGAGAGCATGATGCCGCCCAGTGCGGGCGCGTAGTACCGCTTGCTGAACCACGAAAACGTCGCCGGCCACGTCAGCGCCGACACCGCCGTCGCCACCACCACGTACGGCAGCAGCTGCGACAGAAACTGACCCAGGTTGAACCCCTTGGTACCGCTCTGCACCGGCCGGGATTCCGATGGCGGAGCTGCTCGGAAGGAGGTTTCCGAGAGGTTTCCTAGCCTCCGCATGGAGCCGACATTGCTGTGAACGTGAGTGCATCCGGCAATCGTGCACGTGAACTTGTCGCAGTCAGCACCGGTTGTCGCCGCGCCTGGCGCCGCATTTGGCGCCGTCATTGACGGCATTGATCCCTCGGAACCACTCTTCCATCCTGCCTCGAGCTCCGCGCGCTTCGACTCCGCGTCGCTCTGGTCTTCGCCGGTCCCGCGTTGTGACGCGTCTTCCTCAACGAATCCGCGCACCTCCTTCCGCCTATGCGCGGAAGAAAGGGACGCAGCGCTCACGGAGGTCACGCCGATTTGGTTGCGCAACCGCGCCCAGTTAACACCTCCCTGTGATGCACCTACACCGCGTTTCGCGTCCCCGTATAGTCCCAGCTGCTCTCGTTGTGGGCCCGATGCGGCCGGGGTTGCTGACGTGGAACGGATGAGAGGGATTGCGCGCTCTGCTGGCAGGTAATCATTGGCTGCTGAGTTGCAATGCGCATCGCCTTGGCTGCGAATGGTTACAAACGGCTGGCGAGACGAGGATCGACGCGCAGCTGTTTTCAGAGAGCGGTTGACTGGAGAACGGGTGGCGAAACGGCATGATTCATGAGCTCCGAAGAGAAAAGGTCGCTGAAGATGGCACGCCATGGTTGAGCCTTCGCCGATATCGTATCTGCAAGTTTAATCGCTTATCGGTTTCAAATGTTAAGAACCCAACACGTGGTGGCGCGTACGAACCAGAGAACCGCAGACAAGATCCTAATGCGAGGGGTCGACGCAGAGAAATAAGGGTCTTCTCAAAATGAAGGAATGACAGAAGCAAGTATGCTCGAGCAACTCTTGACTAACGCAATGGCTTTTCTATGGGCGCTTATTTCTGGAGATTACCATAAGGAAAGGCAGGTGTGGTATAGGCGCTGGGGGAGGTGGAGTGGGGTGGGGTTGCGTTGCACAGTTCCACCACTCTTGCCCATTGCCCGCTGATGTGACGCAGCGCTGTCCAGGCCTTGGGCTTGGCTGGTTTGGTTGGTGGATACGCGGAGAACGCGTGGTGCGGTGTGGTTCCTCCCATCCACATGCCATGATCCATCCGATGTTGGGTGGGCAACGGATGGATGGATGTGGGCCTCCGCCGTGTCCTGCAATGGACGCCATCGATTCCTTCCACGAATCTGAGCCGCGGAAGATGCCGAAATACACAAGATGCCCAACCCCTGCACGCGAAATTTCCTCTCACATTCCAGAAAACTTGCACACGAAGGTTTTTTCCCGGGCAGTTGCACCCACGTTACAAGCACGTCAACCAATACGAACCACAGAAACAGAAGAGACCGAAGTCAAACAGTCAACGGTGAGTTACAAAATTTTGCTATAAGCCCTTTTTGCCCGACGCGAATTGACGAAACCTCCACGAAATGCATGAATCACTTAAGCGCCCCCTTCACAAGGCAACCTTGGGTTAGTCAAACGGACATCGTGTGTACACTTCGCGAGAGTGTTGCGAGTCGCGATTGCCATGTCACCGCTGTTCACATCAAAGGTGCGGTTTGGAGAAAATCTGGAAGGCTGATTGCCCCGGCCGCAGGATGAAACGTTGGATGAACAGGCTTGGTGGATCAAACACTGTGATCCGTGGATAAAAAGCCGAACGAACGGTTGGAGCCAGTTCCGTGAGGCTCGCAACTGCGAGCCCCACGTTATCTCCCACGTGGCGGGCACACAAGGTCAAAAGGACATTTTAGCCAGGGAAAGTATGTGCTGGCTACTATCGTTTCAGGATTCTCAAAAATTTAGTCACAAGGTTTACTAAATCAGTGCGACTCATTGTGATTTCGTTCACGCGACCTCCCACATTATGTTCAAAGTTGGTACTGCAGGCAAAAGTTTTTGACACGTGTCCAAAAAAAAGAAAACCCCTAGGGCTGGACGCATTTTCGGGAAAATCAACCCTAGACACGGCAACCCACCTGGTGTTTAGGGTTGATGCCTCCCCGAGTCGCATCCCTTTCCGATTGGGTTTTAGTTTTTGTCGGCGTAAAAAGTTGAAACGTGTCGGAAATTTTGCGTGGCTATGAGTCGTGAACATAATCTGGTATGTGTTTTGAACGGTTTTCCCGAAAGCTGTAGTGTTCGAGTAAACCCAGTATGAAATGTGAACGGTTTTCAATAACCAGGTAGCCAGCACATACTTTCCCTTTTAGCCACGCGTGAGCACTTTGGTTGGTTCGCGAACCTGGAATCCTGGATATTGGTCATAAGCTTCACTGACGGTTCGACGGCAGTTGACGGTGTGATGCACACGTGGATGCATGTCAGTGGCGGTTAATTCCAAGGAGTTTTCGAGATCCTTCTTTCCATCCAGTGCTGCAGCCGAACGGAATGGCCGAAAGCGCCATTGACGTCTAGAACCCAGTAACAGCGCCGGCATTTGTAAACTACCGTCCGTCGAGTTTTTGCCACACAAAAACGAGGATGAGGTGAGAGTGATATATAAAACAACAAAACATAGAGTCCCCCTCTAGTAATCATTAGAAGCTTAACAATGACACATGCCATCCCCTGATTTGTTTAACCACGATGCTGCGCTCTACTGCTGCTTCCAAGTCACATACATACCTCTTCACAGCTTGCCTACCAGCAAACACATGGCATTTTCCCAGAGGTTCAGAACAGGTTCAGAATGTAGAGCCTTGGCATGCAGTCATGGCATGGCAGCTGCAACACACCCAACAAGAACCAACAATGATTCGAGCAACTTTCACACGGCATCTTGAGTGAGCACAGCCTCAATGAACACCCCGTGTAGCAACTTTCGCAAGCGCAGCTGCTTCTGCCTCAAATAGTGTGTTGTTGACCCAAAGTCCACACCATGTGCATCCTTCCCCAAACAAGTGTGACTGTTCGCTGCACAGCATGACACTCGACAGGACACATAAAAAAGACAGCGACGCCGACACCAGCACTGCGAACCACGGTTGCTTCAAGAATTGAGGCACGGGGAGAGAGTGCATGCGGTAAGGGGGGGAAGGAGAAAAGTGGGGATTAGAGGCAGAGAAGGGGCCCCTCTGAGTAGCTCCTACCTTCCCCCTCTGCCCTACCTTGCCTTGCCCTGGTCCCCCTTCCCACGTCCGATGGAGTCCACAGGCAAATGCCGCCACTCCCCTCCTGCCGCCACCACACCGCTCTCCTTCCCAACCCTCCCCAACCTTCCCCAACCCTCCCACTTCACCTGCCCGCCAGAAATTTGGCTACATGGCCACAATAGTTTTTCAGCTGCTACACATGCTTCATTGCATGCAATGTCGCTATTGTGCTCATTACTCCCCACACGTGCATACCTGCAGTGATATCATGTCCCTCGTCACCGCGCACACCGTCTTAGACTTACGACGTCCATCCACACGCAAGTCCGTGCCGGTCAACCTTCCGCTGCAACCCCCCCCCCCCCCCCCAATCTGCGGACGCTCGACAGTTCGCAAGTTTCTCGTGTACGAAGCAAATAATCTCGTACATCGACGGGCGGATGAGTGTGATGCGCGCGCGGGCAGAGGAGACGAGGAGGGGAAGAGAGCGCGATGCTGCGCTGTAGTCGAGCATTGGCGCGGACGCTAAGCAGTCTGCGGACGCTAAGCAGTCTGCGGACGCTAAGCAGTCTGCGGACGCTAAGCAGTCTGCGGACGCTAAGCAGTCTGCGGACGCTAAGCAGTCTGCGGACGCTAAGCAGTCTGCGGACGCTCTACAACGCGACCTTCACACGGTATCCTGCGCTGCACGCGTGCGAATCGAAGGATGCACTGCTGTACGCGATGCATCATCAAAGGGTATCGCAACCATAATAAAGCCAGCCATGAAGCAGAGCAGACGCGAAGACAAAATATAGGAGAAAGGACGAAGGCGAAAAAAAGCAGGACGAGAGAAAAAGGGTGCTTGAGTGGTCTCGTGGCCCGAGCCTGCGAGGGAAACCCCGGCCGCGCACTCAGCCTCGCTATCCCTCCACCGCTGGGAGCGGGGGGTTTTCGCTGCTCGGTTTCCCCCCTCACGCGGTGCCCCCCTCTCTAACCGCCACGTCACCACTCCTTCCGAGGTGGTGCCGCTGCGGACTCTCAGCTTGGAGCGGACGAGTCATCGATGTGGCAGGCCGAAGGTCTCGCAGGTGTGCGACAATCCCAAGGTTTGGCCCCCGCTCGAGTTACAGTCAGGCGCGACCCCGACCGGCGAGTGAAACGGTCGAAAATTGTGATTATGTTGACTTTGGGAAAGCCTAGATGTTGTTGGTGGTTCCATTTTTGTTTACGTGTCCCAATTCCACGCCAGCTGTATGCAGCAGGCGAGCTGGTTAGAAATCGCACAGCTGGCTCACAAAAACCCCCCTCTCCTGTTTGAACGCGTGCTGCTATTTTTACGTAGACAAGCTGGGTGTACCGGTACTATGGCATTTGCATAGATATTTTCATCTGAATCCGGAAGGAATAATAACCAAGGGCTTGCTTGCATCCTACACTACACCAGGTCCAAAGAAACATTCTATTTATCTGACCTCGGAGAGCCGGCCCTGGAAGAAACAGCCGAGCTGGTCCTAGAAGGCACAACCGAGGTGCTTCTAGAAGGAACACTAGAGCTATTCCTCGACGATGCAACCGAGCTTGGCGCCGTCGAACGCATCAACCCCATGCCTGGCAGAAGCCCGGGGTTCAATACATCGCGCCGGGGAGACCTAGGGTCAGACGTGAGTGTGCTGTGGTGGTTACCGCCAGTGAGAGTTACCTGCTGGCCTGCCATGTGGCCAGCAGCAAGCACCGGGGGAGGGCAGGAGATGCCGTTGCGTGGCGGGGAGAACACGAGCGGGAGAAATTCCTCCGTGTCGCACACAAAGCGCGAGTTGCGGAAATGTTCCTCCAGCGCTGCCCGTCCCTGCACGTCAAACCATCGTGACGTAAACACTCTGGTCAGAAACACAGCAAAGACATGGCATGGAATGTGAAGAAGCTCAATGGCACCTGAACAACGCACCTGAACTTGCTAACAGTGCACCTCAACTACTTGAAAGTAAACCACGCACCTGCACGCGGGCGTAGGAGATGCGGCAGACCTTCCTCGAGTTGAAGGCCTCCCACGGCTGCAGGTGAAAGGCGCGGAACAGCCGCAGTGCTGCTGTCACCGTCGTGAGGTTCACAAACGCATACCCCAGGTTGCACCGGTTCCTGAAAGGGGTGCAGAGCGGTCGCGAGAGGTGAGGAGAGGGGAAAAGGTGCAATACGTGAAGGTGCAGAAACACACACACGAGTACAAGCACTACAATTATCACTAGTAATCGGTTGGAAGGATTACTTACTTGAAGTCGATGGGAAGGTAGACGAAATCATAAGCAGAGAGCGGCTCCCAATGCTCCTCCTCCGCCCCACTCCCACCACCACAGCCACTGCTGCCACTGTCACTGCCTGTATCACTGCCATTGCTCCCATCTCCATCAGTACAACCAGCGGCAGCAGCAGAATCAACACCACCACCATCATCACCACCATCACCGCTGCCATCACCACGAGCACTCCTCCTGCCTCGTGCCCCACCTCCCCCCACCGCGCGCACAGCAGCCCAGGGCCAGCAGGGAGGCTGGGAGTTGCAGTGGAGGCAGTGGGCGTCCAGCAGGGCGAGCAGCATGGCCTGGTTGTACCGGTTGGGGATGTTGCGCACCATCACCGTCGTGCGCGTGCCGTCCCTTCGTGACTTTTGAGGCGACTCAGAAGCTGCCTTGTCTTGAGTCGACTCAACAGGCAGCATGGCCTGGTTGTACCGGTTGGGGATGTTCCTCACCATCACTGTTGTGCGCGTGCCGTCCCGCCGCCCCCTCACTATCCCCTCGCCCACCTGACCGCCCACCTGAGCACCCTCCTGGAAATCCACCTGAGCCTGTGCTTCCCCCTCTACCCTGATCTTATTCTTCTCCTTGTGCAAGCTGACCTCCTCTTGGGTATCATTTGCACCTCCCACCCCTGCCTCCCCTCCTTCTGTCGTCTCTCCCCCTTCTCCCACTGCCTCTTCTCCCTCGCGCGTTCTCTCATCTCGTTCTCCCATTGCCACACCACCACTCTCTGCACGTGAAGCACTCGCACTGGGGAGCGGCACCACCACCCTCCCTGTGCTCCCCCCAAAGTCGGTTGAACCAGTCAAGCCAGACTGGACTAGATCTGTCAGGCATGTCAGAGGCCGATGCGACTTCGCTCTCCCTCGCACCGTCCCCACTTCTTTGTTCTCCCCTTCCCCTGTTGTTTCGGCGAATGGACGAGCGCCACGTGTCTGTCCGTGCTGGTGCCCCCTGCCTGCTGACGTGGCAGCCAGCTGGGCGGCCTCTATCCTAGCCACTGCTGCTGCTGCCTCCTCCACGAATGCAAACTGGACGTGTGGCAAACGGAAAAGCAAACGGTCGGAAAAAGGAGACAGGAGAGAAGGGGAAGGAAGGATGACGGCAGACAATGGTTGGATGAATGAGTTACAAGGTGACAAATGCGAAGGGTTCAATGCAGGTGAAAAGATGCAGAAAGGATAAACAGGAGAAACGGGAATGCAGCAACAGCTAGCCTTGTCAACGCCATGATTATCCTGACCATCATCATCATCATCATCATCATCATCATCATCATCATCATCATCATCATCATCATCATCATCATCATCATCATCATCATCATCATCATCATCATCATCATCATCATCATCATCATCATCATCATCATCATCATCATCATCATCATCATCATCATCATCATCATCATCATCATCATCATCATCATCATCATCATCAGCAGCAGCAGCAGCAGCAGCAGTTTCGTACCTCTGCCATGTCATCTTCGTCTCCCCCCGTGGCATGCTGCCCCTCCCCATGACCATGCACACGGCCATGGGCATGTGAACGGGCATGTGCATGGGCATGGGGATGGGGATGGACATGCGAGTGTGCATGCGCATGGGTATGTCGAAACTGTTGGTGCCCACCCATTCCCGCCCCACCCCACCCCTCCGTCCAACCCTGCCTTGCACTCCCCACCATTGCTTCTCCCCTCCCTGCTACTTCCCCCATCCACATCCCGCCCATGCCTCCTCCTTCTCCCCCTCCTCCCCCACCCCCTCTTCCCTGCGCCATCGGCACGTTCCAATGCATCAGCATCTGCCCAGGACGGGCAGATGGAAACATTCCAGCTGCCGCTCCAACGATTCCTATTGGAGGATAACCCACACCCATGGGTGTTGGTGTAGCATGGCCGTACATAGCAAACCCAGCAGGGGCCGTGGGGGTAGGAAGGGCGGCAGGGTTAGCGGCAGCAGGGGAAGCAGCAGGGGCAGCAACAAGCGCTGCGGCAGAAGCATGGGAGTCACTACCAGTGGGGGTGGCGGGGAACCGAGGAGAGGAGGAGAGAGACGTGGGGAATGAGACGGCAGGAGATGGCCCCCCAGCAGATATGGGAGGGGGAGGAGGAGGAGGAGGAGGAGGAGGAGGAGGAGGCGGAGGAGGGAGAAGGGGAGAATCCGCGGCATGGCCAGAAGGGAAAGGCAGTGGAGGTGGAGGAGGGTAGGGCAGATAAGCAGAGGGAGCAGCAGCACCAGGAGGGAGATACGGCATGCCTGGGGCGAAATGGTAAGCCCAAGGAGGAGGGGCATGGCCGTGACTGTGGGGTGCGGAGGGCGGGGCGTGGGGCAAGAGGTGGGATTGAGGGTGTGGGGAGGCAGTGTGAGGATGCTGCAGCAGAGGCACCGAGACAGGGGCGTGAGGAGGCCCATATGGCCCGTGATACTGCTGCTGCTGGTTCTGCTGCTGCTGCTGCTGCTGCTGCTGATGATAATACTGCTGCTGCTGATGGTACTGCTGCTGTTGCTGCTGGTATTGCTGCTGCTGCTGCTGCCCCTCATGCATGAAACGCCCCTCGTGGACTCCTTGCACGTGCTGGCCCTCGTACTGACCCCCCCAGGCCTGACCCCCCGGGATGAACGCCTGTGTGGTTGGGGGACTAAGGTTCGGCAGAGGCGCGGTGGAACGTGGTGGAAAGAACGAGGGGACCAAGTGTGGTTGAACAAGGGTAGAGGTAGGATGGGTTGGGAATGGGGGGCGGAACCAGGGGGGCGTGGCTGCTGGTGTGACTACTGGTGTTGCTGCTGGTGTGGCTGAGGTTGCAGGTGCAGCAGGGGAGAATTGCGTCTGTGGGTGGTGCGAGTAGCTGTAGCTGGTGTCACCAGTGGTGTTGCTCCCATGCCCATGCTGCCTGTATGCATGCGAGATGGTAGAATCCGGTGGAATGTGCAGGGGCGGATGAGGCAGAGGCGCCACAGACGTTGCTTGCCAGTGCCAACTGGGAGGGAAGCTGCTGCCACGGCTGCTGGCGCTGCTGCTACCACCGCCACTGCTGCTACCAGTGCAACTGCCAGTCGTACTGGCGGTGCTGTGCGCGCTTGTATCTGACCTCCACGTGTCTGGCGAGCTCAGGGCGCTCGCGGTCGCGCTGCTCGTGGGCGCACTGGTGTTGGGTGCGGTAGTGATGGGAGCGGGTGCGGTAGTGATGGGTGCGGTAGTGATGGGAGCGGTGGTAATGGGTGTGCTGGTAACTGAAGTAGAGCTGTCTGGGTTGCCGTCTCCTGGCGTGCTGCCACCCACCCTGGATTCTTGACCCGGAGATGACACAGGAGACACCTCTTCTCGAGGCAATGACTCATCAGCCAGCCCACCACCGCTTGGCCTTGCACTCTCCCCTCCACTCTCGCCCTCTCTCCCTCCTGCTGAACACCCCTCCTTCACCACTGCATTCTCTAACGCCTTTCCCTCCTCTTCTCCCCCTTTCGCATCAGCACCTGCTGCTAACTCAGCTCCAGGAAATCTCGCAGAAGCTTCATCAGACACCTCCTTGGCTCTCTCCCCAAGAATTCCTTTCAATACCTTCTCTGCTTCCTTTAATACCTTCTCACCTTCCCTCAATACATTCTCTCCTTCCTTTAATACCTTCGCACAGTCGCCTGTAACTTGCTCCTCTAGGGAAGCTCCAGCATCCGTCTCTCTCACTGATTCCCTCCTGGTGCCGTCTGGACCAGGTGCGGATCCTGAGAGCAGCAACCCATCTGCACCCATCTCCCCCCTGCCACCACTGCTCTCCACCTCTGGGCTTCTCAAGGCAGGGCTTTCGCACTCGGGAGGTTTTGACAGACCACCACATTCAGAAGAAGAAGCAGCAGCAGGAACAGCAGGAGCAGCAGGAGCAGCAGGAGGAGCAGGAGTAGCAGGAACAGCAGGAGCAGCAGCAGGAACAGCAGGAGCAGCAGCAGCAGGAGGAGGAAGAGTCTTTTGGAGGCTCTGACTCATGCCGGGGCGAGGCTGGCTCAAGCCGGGGCGAGGCTGGCGTGTCTATAATCCGTGGAGGATTAGGGCTAGGCTGGGTGGGAGTGTGCACGGGGGAGTGAGACGAGGTGCTGCTGGCAGTCGATGTGTGGGAGGGCGAGGCTGATCCGCAGGAGGGGGTGTTCAAAGACGCCTGACTTGATGAGCTGCTGCCGCCTCTGCTGCCGCTCATGCTGTCACCCCGACCGCCACCACTCCTGCTGCTGCCCCTGCTGCCACTCCCCCTGCTGCCACTCCCCCTGCTGCCACTCCCCCTGCTGCCACTCCCCCTGCTGTCACTCCCGCTGTGGGTGTGAGCACTCAATGCGGTCCTTCCTTTCCCTCGTGAAGGCCATTCCGTGCGTCCACGCCCCTGCCATGCATCCACTGCCCTTGATCCCACCGCGCCAACTTTTCCTGATACTCCTGCCATTCCAATGGCCTCCATCATTACTCCCTGGCGTGCAATCTCAATCTTTATCCGCCTGCCCGCCAGCTCTGTTCCAGTCAGCTTCTGCAGCGCATTGGCAGCTGCCCGGATGTCAAAAAACTCCACACGGCGGTGAAGCTTCTGAGAAGGAACTGCCCTGACCTCCTTAACGTCTCCTACCATGCAAGGGAAGCAAAGAACGCAGCACACAGACCGAAAGCAAGCACGAGAAACAGCGGGATGTGAGCAAGATGAAGGAGACCGAAAAGGGAGAAGCGGCTAATCCATGACGCAGCTGTTAGGGACAATGCACAGCGCCAACATCATGGCAACTTTTGCAACTTTTGTTAGGGACAATCCACAGTCCCAGTACGTACCATATGCTGCCAAGAGGGCACGCAGCGCGTCCATAGACACAGAGGGGTCAACGTTCCGCACCACCACGCACCCATTACCACCGTCCCACGCCCCTCCCTGGTGCTCATTCGCCCCCTGCCTGCGTTGCAGCTGCTGCCCCAACTGCTGCTGCTGGTGCTGCTGCTGCCCCTGCGACTTCTGTCGCTGGTGACGCCGCTGCACCGCACCGAACCTCCCATCACCACCTCCACCATCCGCCCAACCTCCCCCAAACCCCCTCCCACGCCCAGCCCCCTTCCCTTCTCCCGCCCACGCCCCTCCATCCCCATCAGGATCCACCGCTTGAGCCCACACCACCCACCCAGCAACCAACCCCAGCCCTTTCAGCGGAACACTCTCATTCGGCAGGGGCCGGTAGGGGTCTTGAATAATCTTCTCGGGGGGTTCCCTGGAGTGGAGTTGGCGCAGGCGAAGCAGGATGCGGTGGTGAGTGCGCTGCTGCTGCAGCCAGTGCTGCTGCTGTATGTCCCGCAGTGCCACCTTGGCGTGCCGCAGGTCGAAGAAATGTGCCATGGCCACGCCTTCCCAGCGACGGGACAGGTCGAGAAACCTGAAAAGAGGAGGGGAAGGAGGAAGGGCCGTAAGAAGGCACATAGGGAATCTGATGGCGGGGCCGGGATGAGAGATTTGCAAAGCTTGGCGGAGCAAAGTTGAGGAAATCAAGGAAAAAAGCTCTCAACCAAAGACCTTTGCAAAAGCTGAGTCCACATATTCTATTGAAACTTGCAACTCACGTCAATGGACCCCACGTCTTCTCTATCTCCTGCGCCAACACGGCGTCAGGTAGTTGTTCAGGTGGCGGCAACAGAGAGAGAATGATAACCCGGGACACTCTGTCGTCCGCTGTAGCCAAAGGTGTGGGGGGCGTAGGAGGAGGAGGAGGCACAAGAGCCTCCCCCATTTCATGCCCCATATAAGGGGCCCTGAAACCCGGGTGTGCAGGCAATGGTGCCTGTGACTGTACATGTAAGAGAGGGTTAGTATGCACAAACGGATGTGAGTATAGCGGTGCTTGCTGTGACTGTAATGGCTCCTGCGGCTGTATAGAGTATGCAGAAGGAGACTCTCCCTGTGGCTGCTGCTGTTGATGCTGCTGCTGCTGCTGCTGACGAGGTGGGGGATGATACTGCATAGTGTGACTGTAAGGAGCGCTGTACATAGCAGTCATGTGGTATGGTGCAGTAGCAGAAAATGAGTGCTGTAAGGAAGCTGCAAGTGCAGTACCAGCAGCAGCAGCAGCATCAGAGAAAGATGCATCACCAGAGGAGGCAGCAACTGCAGCAGCAGCGGCAGAAGATGCATCACCGCCCGAAAAATGCGAGTCGGAATAAACACATGATGCGTTGACAGGAAAGACTTTAACATCCTCCATGCTCCCATGCTTGCTGCTTCCAGAGCTGCTACCTCCACCCTGCCTTCCATGGATATGCCTCTCTCCTCTTTTGCTCCAACCACACTCCCACCGACCGTTGCCACGTGGAGGCACAGGAGAGGACCGTCGCGGGCCTATGGGAACAACCTGGGAGATGGCCGGAAAGGGACGGCTAAGATTTACGGCAGGAATCGTGCTGCTGGTAACGAGGGGAGGAATGAGTGGAGGAACCACAAATGAAGCAGCAGAAGAGGCACCAGCTGTGGCAGCAGAGACGTCCGCAGCGGCAGTGGAGCTCAGAGGGTTGTAGTTTGAAAATAACGACGTTGCAGCAACTGCTGACGGGGACGGCGCGAAGGACGGAGTGAACTCAGCAGCGTTGGGATCAAGAGACATCTTCTTGCACGCAAGTTCCGTCTCAGAGTGCGACGCCTGAGTTTCCGCTGTTCCAGAAATGTCTCTACCACACTCTGCTCCGACGGTTTCTGCTGTCGCTGCTTCCTCTCCGTTCTCTCCGTTCCCTCCGTTATTTAATTTCTCTGCTTCCTCTGTCACGGACACAGCCTCGGGTGCGTCCACCGAGTCCGAAACAACAGACTCCTTTTCTCGCCGCTTTTCATCGCCTGAAGCCTCCATAACACCACTGCTCCGTGCCTGTGCTGCTGCTCCTTCCTCCCTTGGAGTCTCCCCACGCGCACTCTCGCGCAGACGATGAGTCAACGACGGACTTCCACTAAGAGCGGCTCCATCCTCATCCCGAGCCTGAGAACAAGCCTCGGTTGGACGGGACATTTGCGGAGCCACATCGCCGCTTTCCGCAGTAAATTTGGACGCGCGATCCGAAACCTCCATCTCGCCGTCGCAGCAAGAAGCATCACCCGCAATTAACAGTTTCCTCGGTAGCAATCCGTTCCGCGGCGGAGCTTCTAACACGGCCTTCCAAGAACGCTCGTTCACCGGCGCAGCTGAACTATCCGTAGGAACCCTACAATCCGAGGAGGAGAGCCTAGTAGTCTCTCGTATATAATTTTCCCTAGCGGTGCTTAGCGTGAAACCACTCTCGGCACTACTTAACGTCGTCACCCTATTGGATGCTCGAAGAACCGTTCTCGGCGCCGAGCCCTTGAGACCGGGTGGCGCAATCGCCATACTTAGTCATGGATATGAACTTCAGCGATGTTCCTGTAGCTTATTCCTGGAGCATGCCAGCTCAAAATCTTTCGTATGAGCCATGAAGGGCCTCAAGCAAAGGCGTAAAGCTGCACCGAGGACGAAAGCTGGTCGTAAAAGCGCTTCTGGCGTTGGAACATCATATCCATGATTCCGCGCATGTGCAAGCTATCCGCCGGAACAGGAAAGGCTTGAATCAGCGAGACGACGATATCGCATGATGCATGATGCTTCGAGCACTGCTGAACCGACGATGTCGGCTGTGGAAAGAAAATCCCTCCAAACATCAGCAGCACGTATCCTGATACTTGTACTCTAACCGTGGATCTTCTTCACCCCCTTCGCTTCAAGCACATCTGTGAAACGGGATGGCTGCCTCCCACATTATCTCCTGCACAGCCTTATCCCCTCCATTCTCGGGATCTTCTCGTGAAGAACTTCCGAGTTCGGCCTCAGAATGCCAAACCAACCGAGCTCTTCTCGGGGTTGTCGCGACAGCAACGAAACAATCTTGCATCCATCAGGAGCGAAGCGGGGCCAGGTCCTGGCGATGGGAAAAGGCGGTGCAGAATGCAGAGCGTCCCGAGCCGAAAAGGGCGTGCAGACGGTTGGATGAGGTCATAGCCCAGCTTTCTCGCCACATGTTATCATCCCAGCGGTTGTTTCCAGCTTTGGTAAGACGTTTGGTGAAAACCTTGGTCCCAGCCTATCCATTCACCCGCATCGCTCTGCGATTCGCTGCCAAATCTCCCTGGTCTGATGGCACATCATGAAATGGCAGGGTGGGTCCAGTCTTCTGCCCAGAAAAAGTAACATCGTAATCTGGGCGAACATTATTTCCTGTCGCCCACCGTCAGTTTCTAGTACGGCCATCAGGCGGAGATTGCTTGCGGAAGTGGTGCAGGGTAACATCATCGCAACTTCGAAGTCCCGAGCCCAACGAGAATCCGTGTGACGTGGTTGCGTTTCGCCATGCGTGGAATGAACCAAAAGCTGACGTGTCGAGGGCGAATCCACGCAGATTGCTTCTGCCCCACGCTCACCACGCCGTCAACATCTGCTTCAGCGTATAAGCAGATCCGAATGCACTACAACAGGCCTATGAAACTGCATCCATTTCTACCACATGGATGGAAATTTTTGTTTTAGAGCATTGCAGGCCAAACTGTCGAGAAATCATAGCTTGTGGAGGGTGCCTTCCTTCACCACAAATCGCCAAGCTTCCCCTCCAAATCGTAATCCTCATCCTCTTCGTTGACTAATTCCTCGTCCCCCAAGTCCACCTCTCCTACAGCTCTCTCCTCCTTTGACTGTGAGCTACCACTGAGAACCAGGAGAATACCATCGTCAGCATCATCAGCCGGATTAGCATCAGACACGTCTCCACCCTTCTCCTCCATTGCAGCAGCTGCAGGAGCAGTAACAGAAGTAGTGGCCACTTCCGGGACAGCAGCCTTTTCCAGGTCCTCATTATTATAGCCTGCTGCCCCTGTGCCTGCTACTGTTGCTTCTCCGCCGCCTGCTTCTGCCACAGTGCCTGGCGCTTCTGTCCCGGTGCCTGACGCCTCTGCTCCCAGGCATGCCGCTGCCTTCGTCCCCACTTCTCCACCACTGCGTCCACTCAGCACCCTCGAAAGCCTCCTGGTCTTCCCCACATTCCTTGCACCTTGCCCACCTGTCGTCTCCACTCGCGCCAGTCTCCTCTGCCGCTCACCAACAGCAGCCTTCTCCTGCTGTGCCCCATCACCAGCAACGCCACCATCGCCCCCACCTCCCTCGTCGCTCGCTCGCTTGCGCTTCAGAAGCTCTGAAAGCGGCCGAGGGCCCGAAAACAGCCCCGTTGCTTCGCCAGCTGTCGCTCCGGCCGGCTTTCCAGCTGTCACGCCAGCTGCCTTGCCAGCTGTCGCATTAGCTGTACCATTCGCAGGATTCTGAACTGCTGTTGTCTGAGCTCTTTCTCCAGAGCTCTTAGCAGCGGACGAACCCGCAACCCTGATGAGCTGCGCCTTGGGTCGTGATTGAGTCGCACTGGCTGGGTCTGCTCCTGCTGCTCCTACGCCCCTCCTGGAGCGCACTGCTCCAGGTGATGCCGATGCTGCTGACGCTGCTGGTGCTGCTGCTGGTGGCCCCGCACCAGCCCCCTGTGCTTTCCGCTTCACGGCCAAAATCTCTGCCAGACTACGGGGTCGGTGGAACCCGCCTTTCCCCCCTCGTCCTGCTCCTGCTGCTTCCCCCACCTTCACAGCAGCAGCAGCAGCAGCAGCACCAACATTGGCACCATCAGATGCACCTCCTGGGCTCCCTGCACTCGCATTGCCCACAGGCCCTGACAGCCTGGCAGCCAGTCTGTTCTTGACACCTGTCGCGCCTGCACTATTCACAGCACCGTTCCCTTCCCTGACGCCAAGACCGTTAGATTCTGACAATGCGCCAGCACGAGCACGCGCACCAGCAGCAGCAGAAGCAGCGGCGGCAGCAGCAGTAGCAGGACCAGTAGCGTCAGCCCCACGGCCCATTACAGCAGGGCGAGCATCCGAACCAGCATCAGTGCCACTCACTGTGTTAGCAGCAGTACCAGCAGTACCAGCAGCAGCACCACCACCCAAGCGCCTCTTCACAGACAACCTACCATCCCCTGCCGAGCCTCCAACAGGTTCGGAAAGTCTGCCTTGCAATCGTCCCACCCCAGCCTGCCCCTGCCTAGTCGCATCCTGTGCTGACTGAGCCCTTGCACGCCCTGAACCTAAATCCTGAACCATACTCTCCGGGGCAGCCTCCGGCTCGGACCGGACCCGCTTCAGGTCCCTCCTCCCTGGTGCGATATCAGGGCGGGACGAGATAGCCTTCGCAGACTGGCGAATATTGTCTGCCTGAGAGACATGAGATTGGGAAGCAGGAAGTGAAGGGGCCTGCACCACACGTTGAGAGGACGCTGAGGCGCCATCCACTCGCGCACGAATCACTAACCCCTGCCCCACTGCTCTCCCCTGAACCAGCCCTTTCTGCTGCTGCTGCTGCTGCTGCTGCTGCTGCGGCTGTTGCTGTGGCTGAAGCTGCTGTTGCTTCCCTTGTTGCTGTTGGAGAGGCAAGGAACGAGCAGTGGTGGCAACAACTCTCCCAGCAGCACTTTCAGTGTTGCTCCCTACAGCCACCACCAGCCTACGACCCTTCAGAGGAAGGCTCGTTGCTGGTGGGGCGATACTGTCAGATGCTGAGCCTGCTCGCGCCCCTCTCGCTGCTCCTTCTCCTCCTGCTGCTGCTGCGGCAGCGCCGCCGGTTGCTGCCAACACGCCTGAGACGCAATGGGCAAGCGAACAAGAGAAACGGCAAACATCCGTTGAAGCAAGCTTGTACCATTGTCTGCCAAACGCGCCAAGTAATCCACACAAAGCGTGTCGAGAAAAGTCATTAAGACATGTAAGGACAATGAAAAGTACGTGAGGCATTCATACCTGGCATGGGAGACGGCGCCAACTCAGGCACCTTCGCCCCACCATGTGCCACGTGCTGCTGAGCGGACCTCTCTCCCACGAATCTCCCTCTAAGCCCAACGTTACCCTCCTCCCCTCGCCCTCTACCGCCAGCCTCTCTTCTCCCTGCTTCCGCACCCAAACCCCGTGGCCCAGGGCCGGGCCCAAGTGCTGCTGTGGCGGCAGCAGCGGCTGCTGCAGCTGCTTCCTCCATCACCGCTCGCACTCCCACTGCTCGCCCGCGCCCCTGCGCCCTGTGCCCATGCTGAGTCATCGGGTGCCCCTGCTGACCTGGAGCTGGACCAGGGTGACCTGGAGTGTGACCTATGGCACGATCATGCCCTCGAGGCTGACTCTGCTGCTGCTGATGCTGCCTGTTCTGGTGGTTGAGATTATTATTCTGCTGTTGCTCCTGCCATTGCTGCTGCTGCTGCTGCTGCTGCTGTTGCCCCTGCCCATGCCACTGCTGCTGCTGCTGCTGATAATGTTGCTGCTGCTGATAATGTTGCTGCTGATGGTTGTAGTGGTGCTGATGTCGTTGCTGCTGCTCCTCTTGGTCATAAGCCACACCTGCAGGCCCCCCTGCAGGGCCCCGCCCTACTCCAAATGCTGAACCTGCTGGCAGTGTTGATCGCGCACCTCTGCCCCCACCACCCATCCCTCTCTCCTCTGCCTGACCAAACCCACTCCCAGTTCCAGAGAAACCCCTCCCTGCTCCGGGTTCCACCCATCCCCTCTCCGCTCCCCTCCTTCCGCCTCTCCCTGCATCAGCTTGTTCATCCCACCCTCCTCGTGCTCCTGCCTCCTCCTCTGCCCCTCTACCCGAACCTTTACCCGAACCTCTACCCAAGCCTCTAGCTGGCTCCCGTTCCACTCCATCAGCAGCGACAGCGCCAGGAGCGCGGCCAGAGAGAGGGTCAGCAGCAGTAGTAGCAGTAGCCTCAACAGCAGCAGGACTAGCAGCAGCAGCAGCAGCGGCGGCAGCAGCAGCAGCAGCAGCAGGCGCAGAGGCGTCAGGGGGAGGGGTCTCGTGGCGGAAGGGGCAGAGGTACCCCTTGGCGCACGCGCCCCTGGCGAAGAAGAAGCAGGGCGTGCGCGACTTGTCCTCCGCCCCGGGGAACGCGGGCGGGGGAGCTGCGCCAGGCGGCCTGCCTAGAGGCTGCATGGGATGTGAGGGAGAGGAAACGACGCGGAAGCGGGGAATACCATAATTTTACTGAGATGCATAAAACCGGCTGGGATTGCTGAAACCAATGCGCGCGGAAACGCTTGGTTTTGCGAATACGACAAGATTCGCGGGACTCCAAGCGAAGCGGGAATTAAGAGATGCGGGAAGCGCGACTGGCGAGAACCGATTCGCACCGGATGGCGGAAGGCGCAGTCGGCCTTGTTGCACCCCCAACTCATCCAGTAGTAGCAGTCGCGCGGGTTCCGCCTCGCTGCTTCGGAATGGCGAAACTCGCATGCCGCTCCCTGCGCGGATAGTCACATACGAACGGAGATTAGAATTTCTCGCCACAATGACAGATAATCCTCAATTGAGACATCTAAATACCTAATGTGCTTGTCTGCCTCTCGAGCTAATCACCTTCTTGCACATTAGCGGCGATGCGAGAAAAAAGATGCAGTCTGTTCGCGCTTTAATCAAGAACGCGTCATCTCCCTCCGCTGCCGTAGCATCCCCTTCGAGATTGTCTTTATCTCCGATAGTGCCATCCCCAGCCCGACCCGAATGCCCCTCCATTCTAGGCTCGCGATTAATCCTTCAGCAGACACGAAGACCGCCAGCACTTCAGTGCAAAAAGACAGTGGGCAAATTTAGTGCGGAGATTCAGGCGCATCTACTGGAGTAAGCATCCGCAAATACCATAGAGCATGATCTAGGTGTTTAGTTGCCGCCATGCCCGAACTGATGAGCAGCGCTGTGACCGTTGGGTGGTGATGTCGGGGAGCGGAAGATGTGGACTGAAGCATTGATACCGATTTACACCCAATCTACTCCATTGGGTTCTCTCTAAAAATAAATCTTTAGAAGGGCATCCTGATGCAAGTAAAATATCCCGAAGTGAGGAACGTTTTAGCGGAGCTAAATCGGGACGGGAAGGTCAAGTCCGGGTCAACCTCCTCGTCTTCTCTGCGCGCACCCGACAAACCCAACCTCTGCGCTGCGCAGGACCAGCGCGGGTGTTTGACTCGTCTCAGCTCCGCTCTCCCCGAAAAGCCAACCTCCGCATCGACGGTTTCCGCTGGTCCAATCAGTTCCGTCAGAGCAATATCCGTGCTCCGCGAACTGGAACTGGGTGCGCCAACAAAGCATCCGCGGGGGCGGTGAACAGAGCACGAAGCGGAACAGACTGTGCTTTGTGCTGTACCACTTGGTCCTCCGCGCGGTGCTGCAAACGAGTGCAGTATTTTCAGGGTGGGGGGGGACCTGTCGCTGCGCTACTGGTTGGGTGGGGGAGAGTCTCCATGGAGCACGAAGAGCAATGGCGGCAAGCTCTTGGGCTGGATTGGGTTTCGTGGGTTCAGCTGCTTGCCCCGAGAGAGAATGGCATTGCATGCCCATTTCGTTATCTGCTCTAGATAGACGGGAAGAGTTTCTCATTTCTGCTGATTCCACTTTCCAGTTTGTTTGACCCAGTGACTTCAGTTAGTCTTCGGATTTCAGTCTTCCTCAGTCGTCTCGCTTCTCCTCCATTTGCGCTATTACTGATTGTTTTCCTTCTTTTTGCACCTAACGTCATGAATTAGTCGGGACTTGCACTCACTAGCTAACGATTTTTTCTCACTCGAAGCTGGACGACGATTCGGGCTAATAAGCTTACTTCTTCAAATTCAGCTCTAATAAACAGACACTGATTCTTTCCGCGTCATTGCTGTCCCCGCGATGCGCTCGCTCGCGCCTGCCAGGAGCGTCTAACCCTAACATACCATTTCGCCAGAATTGCTTGCCATGGCGACTTTTGAGTCGGCTCAAACCTCGTTCGTGCCTGCCAGGAGCGTCTAACCCATCAAGCCCATCGATTATACCGAACATACCATTCCAGCCCATCAAGCTCCTATCTCTCAGCGCTCCTTAACGCCAGAATCGCTTGCCATGGAGCTATCATCGTGCATAGGTGATGCCGCTCCTCCGAGCCTCCTTCAAGGGGTCCCGAGCCTCCGTCAGGCTCGGCAAGACCATTACACCCCGTCGGGTCGGTCCGCTGGAGTCGCTATGAGCGGCGACCTGCTGCCGCCGCCTGATATAGAGCTAGGCGAACGACGCGACCCGATATCTCTCGAGCCAATCTCCAGCCCGCCTTCCATCCGCCGGACCGCGTCGATAGGTACTAGCAGCGGCAGAGATTTCTGCTTATCGCTGCCGCAGATTCCTCCTCCCGTTACTCCGCGACCCGACTTAGTAGCACCTCCGGAAGAAGCCGATTTAGACACGGGAATTACCATAATCTGTCCACCCAGAAACGGTCTTTTTCTAAGCCCTACTGACGAAAGCGAAAAATCTGGCGAAACTGGCGAAATCGGCGCGTCCAGCAGTAGGCGAGGCGCGTCAGGCCGTTTGGGCGCGTCCGGAGCTGGCCCGGCGATTCGGAAAGGCTCGCCGAGCCTGAGCCGCGCGAGGCTCGGGTTGGGGGAGATCCGGCTGGACTTGGGCGCGTTGCGCGCGCGCACGGAGCGGGATTTCAACGCGGAGGCGATGGAGGTGCGCGCGCGCAAGGAGAAATTCGCCTTCTTTGAGAAGGACTGTAGCCGCGTGCTGGAACACGTGTTCGTGGGCAGCGATTACGTGGCAAGAAGCCGGGAGATCTTGCGCGAGGCGGGTGTGACGCACGTGCTCAACTGCGTTGGATTCGTATGCCCGGAGTACTTTCCCGGGGATATCGTTTACAAGACGCTCTGGCTGCAGGTGAGAGGGGGCAAAGGAGAGGGGGAACTTTTGAGACGCCTCAGAAGTCGTTTACTTTCCCGGGGATATCGTGTACAAGACACTCTGGCTGCAGGTGAGTAGGGGGAAAGGTGTGGGGGAGTGAGGCGCAGGTGGGGGGAAGTGAGGCGCGGGTGAGGGGAAGTGAGGCGCGGGTGAGGGGAAGTGAGGCGCGGGTGAGGGGAAGTGAGGCGCGGGTGAGGGGAAGTGAGGCGCGGGTGAGGGGAAGTGAGGCGCGGGTGAGGGGGGGTTGGGGAGCGTGAGCTGGTGACGACCTTATGCCATGTTGGATTGCGTATTTGCCTAGAGGAGACGCTCTCATCCCTATGCACTCGTTTTCTCCCGTTCCTCTCCCCTTCACCGCAGGACAACACAGCAGAGTACATCACATGTCTGTTGTACGACGTGTTTGATTACATCGAGGGCGTGCGGGAGGCCACGGCTCCTCATCTTTGCACCCTCTTCTGTCTCCCCAACCCCCATTCCCCTTTCCCCCGTTCTCCTCTACTGCAGGACAACACGGCGGAGGACATAACATGTGTGCTGTACGACGTGTTTGATTACATCGAGGGCGTGAGGGAGGGCGGGGGGCGCGTGTTCGTGCACTGCTGCCAGGGCGTCTCGCGCTCCACATCCCTCGTTATTGCGTACCTCATGTGGACACAGGTGGGCAGAGTAGTGCAGGTGCCTTACAACGAGTTGTCCGTTAATGAGTTAAACGTGATACGCGTCCTCATTATTGTCCGCTCCTCTGCTTGTGGATTTATGCGGGCCGTTCAGTCGGGGTGGTGGAATCAGTCAAGGTAATCGCGTCATGTCTACCTACGATGCGAAAAGAAACCTGCTGCTGTAACATAGTGGTGAAAAGCCCTTGCTTGTGTCCCTCTCCCCCTCCCGCGCACCTCTTCCAGAGGCTGGAGTTTGAGGAGGCGTTTCGGCGCGTGAAGGCGGTGAGGGGAGTGGCGAGTCCCAACATGGGCTTTGCCTGTCAGCTGCTGCAGTGGCAGAAACGCATGCTGCCGCCCAAACCAGCAGCCCCTGCAGCGGCAGCAGCAGTGACAACCCTCCCAGCGATAGCACCAGCTGATTCGCCAACAGCAGCAGCGTCCGCAGAAGCAGCAGCAGGAGCATCACCAGTACCGCCTGCGGCGTCTGAAGCGGCGGGCGGGGTGGTTCGGCAGCACATGTACCGCATGGCACCGCACTCCCCGTACGACGCCCTGCACCTGGTGCCCAAAACCGTCCCCTTCTCCCGCCACTCGCTCGACCCGCGCGGGTGCTTTCTGGTGCAGGTGGGATCTGCTGTGTACTGCTGGGAGGGTAAGCAATGCCATCCCCTTATGGCCCAGCAGGGGTTGGCGACTGCCAGGCAGATTATCAAGTATGAAAGTTTGGGCGGGGAACCGGTTCTGGTGACGGACGGGCAGGAGCCGGAAAGTTTTTTGGCTGCCCTTGGGGATGGGGGTGGAGGGCGGGAGGGGAGGGTGGGTGGGGGAAGTGGGGCGGGGGCGGATGCTGAGTTGATGAAGGTGGTGGCTCGGCAAGGGTTGACGTACCTCGGGCAGGATGCAAAACTTTTAGATGGTGCCCAGCAGAGTTGTGGCTGCGAGGTGTCTGAAGGTGGTGCAGCAGCAGCTGTGGGTGAATCGGCAACGAGTGGCAGTGCAACGAGTGCACCAGAATCAGCAGAACTACCAGCAGCAACACCAGCAGCAGCAACACCATCAGCAGCAGCGGCGGCAATGCCAACAGCAGCGTTATCAGTAGCCCAGGCACCTCCATTAGCAACAATCATGTCTGATTCTCCTCTCTCACCCGCCACACTTTCCTCCACCTCCCAGTCAACAACCCCATCTCAGCCCAAGCCACCAACCCCACGTAAACCCAAAACTCCAACCCCTTCCCCACCCAAACCTAGCACATCACCCACACCTGCGAGCCCTCTTCTTCCGTCCCTGCCTCACGCTTCCTCTGCCCCAAACGCCCCTCACACCCCCACCTCTCCCGAACCTCCCAACCTCTCTTCTCAGCTCACGCCCCCGAACCAGGCCTCCACATCTGCCGGGCCTAGCCAGACGTCCAGGTCTCCGGGCTTCTCTGCCTACCGAACCTCGTCCTCGATCTTAGGCTCGGCCTCGCTCTTTGGTGCGGTGGACAGGTTCGCGCAGAAGCTTCGGCGCCGAAGCTGGGATCGCAAGGAGGCCGAGCAGCTTCGGAAAATGGCTGCAGCTGCAGAAAAAGAAATATCGGTAAAGAAAGAGAAGGGGAAGGAGGGGAAGGAGGGGAAGGGACGCAAGAGTGACAGCCCGTCAGAAGGGAAAGAAGCAGCAGCAGCAGGCGAAGCAGAGGGATCAGGAGGAGCAATGGGCAGGAGCAGGAACACAGAGGGGCGGGTGAGGAGGAGTGAGAGCCTTTCAGAGGAGCAGCTAGAGGCGCTAGCAGGTCAGCTGCGGTGCGGTGGGTTGCTAGACCCCTCTGATATCCGCCTGCGCCGCCCCTTCCTGCGCGGCCTGGGGCGCACTGGGGGAGGCGCGGACTGGGGCAGGCGGAAACTGGCGCAGGGGGAGGCGGGGAGGGAGGAGGAGGACGGGTGTGGGGCGGGTGAGGCGGTGGAGGAGGGGGAAGGGAGGGTGGGAGGGGAGGGGGAGGAAGGGAGTGTGGAGGAGGAGAGGGAGAGAGGGGAGGGGAGGGTGGTAGGGGAGGAGGCGGCGGGGGAAGAAGAGGGGAGGGGGGAGAGGGGGAGGGGGCGGGAGCGGAGGAAGAGGGGCATGCGCGCCCTGTCGCCCATGCGGCTTCTGGCCAAGCTGTCAGGCGCAGGTGGTGGGGAGAGGGATCAGAGAGGGTCGGGAGAGGGTGGGGCAGATGCGAATGCAAGTACCAGTGCAGGCGGCAGTGGGAATGCGATCGGCAACGGGAGTGGTAGCGGGAGTGGCAGTGGGAGAGGCAGTTCAAGTGGAAGTGCGGGCAGCGGTACCAGTGGCAGTGCGAGCAGCAGTGCAGTGACGTGTCTGCGCCTTACTGCTGTGTCATTACCAGTAGTCCCTGGCAGGGTGGGTGGGGCTGCTGTGCCTCCCCTTGCTGCTCTGCAGGGCACCAGTGGCCTTGATGACCCTCCGTCCACCACTCCTGCTGATGCTGCTGCTACCGATCCTGCTGCTGCTGCAACAGATCCAACAGCTGAGCCACCTGCCGCAGCACCCACATCACCTGACAAATCACCTGAAGCAGTAGCTGGACCAGCACCCACTGCACCTGCAGCCACACCTGCTCCCATCCAGATTCCAAACCGAACTCTTGTGCTAAACAAGCCCGCCCCGCCCCCCACTGCATCCTCCTCTTGCTGGTCTGCTCTTCCCCGCCCTCAATACGACACCGACTTTGACTACTTTGAAAAGGCTCTAACGGGGGGCACACCTCGTCCTGTAGCGGGCTTTGTTTCCCCCTCAGCTAAGCCGAACGTGCTGCCTCACAAGGGCCGCGGGTGGCTTTCTAATGAACCTGCCTGGAATGACAACCCCTCAGGTTCGGCAGCTGGCTCAGGCGTAGGCTCGGTAGGAGGGAACGCGTTCGGTTCCAAGGAATGGCCGAGCTGGATCCCAAAGAACAGGTTCGGGGCGCTAGGCTTGGCGGGAGGTCCGGGGCTGCCATCTCCGTCGTCGTTCTCCCCCGTTCACTCGCTTTCTTCCCCCCTGGCGGCATGGGCATATACGGGCAAGAGCTCATGCGATCTGTGCCCAAGGCACAGCAGGAGGGGGTGGTGCAGGGAGAGGGGCAGGGAGTGGGGCAGGGTCAAGTGCAGGGGAAGGAGAATGGTGGGGCAGAGTTAGGTATAGGTGCTAGTGCTGCCGCCCCTCTTCCCTCAGCAGCACAGGGTGTGGGGTTTGGAGGACGTGGGAGCATGGAAAGTGGGGGAGTTGGGTTTACGCCCAGGGGAGGGGGTCCCTATGGGGGCTTCTCGCAGGGAGAGCTGCTCACTACCCCTCGTGGCGCCAGGTCTTCTGTGAAACAGCCCTGGGAAGTAGGCACGGGTGGATTTGCCAGTGCAGGCTCGGGTGGAGGTCCGGGAGCTAGCTCCGGCAGCAGCAGCAGCAGCAGCGGTGCAAGGTTGCCTAAAGTGCCGGTCAAAGCCCCAATTCCAGCAGCTGTTCCTAACAACAAGAGTACACTCTCTTCGGTGCAAGAATCCAGCGCTAGAGAGGACTGCTCGACAACCACCCCTGACATCTCGTCATTAAATAGCTCACAAAATGCGGTTCCAGCAAATGGCTGGGGAAACCGTTCTAACAATGACAATGGGTTTTGTAACGCAGCTGATGGCTACAGTGCCAGTCTTCCCTTTGGGATGACTCCTAGAGGACGTCCCCCTCCGACGTCATTTGCTGACTTGGACAAAAAGGGGTTGGGTGGTTGGGGTAATGATGGTGCCAGCAAGGCTCTCTCGTTGCCGATGTCGAATAGAAGGTGATATTTTAACCTGATTTGCTCTGACCTGACAAACATTGCTTGAATTTTTACTGGGTAAAGCTCAGCTTTGCATGTGTGTCTTCAGGCATGGGCCGTTTTTGAAGCAATTTTTTTATATATATAATGTAAGCTCATGTCATGTTTCTGGTGCTTCAGGTACACCTGTAAATCCTTGGAAATGCCCACGGATTTGGGGGTTTCGGATTGCTTGGATTCGCGATCCATCTGGCTGACACGTCAGAAACTGACGGAGCTGTGTGATTGGCTCGCGCGGTGCTGTAACCTTTCAGACCCATCCTGCACGGTTCGTCTGCTATCCCTTTCGCCGCTTCCCTCGGACATTTTCTAGGCTTGCCGTTCCACCTATTCGGGCGAAACTTTGTGGAAACCGCGATGTGTTCGCCACATGAATTACCACATGCGATCTCTAACGGATCTTGAGGACCAGTCGTCGTCGGATGTTCGCTACCGCAGTCTGTTCGCGAAGTTACCGTTCTGGCAATCACGAGGTTTTGAAAACACGGACCTCCATAGCTCCTCCTTTTCCCCTTGTGGCCTCACCACGTTTATCACGCAACCCTCCTATATTCGCCCTAGGTCAATTTCTAGTCCAGGCTAGGTTATCGCAACAAGGTCTTATTACAGCTCTCTATAGGTCTGTCTAAATCAGTTGTTTCTCCGGGTCGCTAGATCGTGTAGCAATTTGTAGACCTCAGTTTACAATTGTCGTTTTATCGCATTGATATTCAAGTTTACCTTCACAATCCGATATAGAATTTAAATTCGGTAAGGTCGGCAACCCACTATAATCAGGCCTCCGTAAGCGGATCCGAGCATCAGTTCTCTTATCGTAGCCAGTATGGCAGGTCAAGGTTGGGGCGATGTGGTGGAAGAAGCCCATCAAGCCCATCCGCCCGTGCCAGGGCCCCCCGCGCCATACATGCACCCCCCCGGCGGACCTTCCGCGCCGGGGGGACCCCGCGGACAGGGACCGATTCTACGGCAGCCAATGGGGTCGTACGTCCCCCCGCACCTCCGCGGCCGCGGGCCAGTTGGCGGGGGAGATTTTGCGCAACCTCCGGGGATGCCGGGGATGGGCCAACCGGGAGCCCCCGGCCCTGCGCCGGTAGTATCCTGGAATGCGCCGGCGGGGGGAGCTGGCGGATCGTGGGCGGATCAGGCAGGCGCGGCGGGTCCAGCATACGGGGGACCTCCGCCGGGCGGCGCATGGAACGGCGGAGCTTCAGGCGGAGGCGGCTGGGGCGGCGGAGGATACGGGGGGGGAGGCGGAGGCGCGTGGCAAGGCGGGGGTGGCGGAGGAGGGTACGGCGGCGGCCGAGGGGGATATGGCGGCGGGAGACGGGGCGGCGGCGGCGGCGGCGGCGGCGGAGGGCCGTTGGGAGGGTTTAGCGGGTCAGGCGGCGGGCGGGAGGAGGATCCGTTCTCGACGCAGACAAAGAAGGATTCAGAGGCGGTGTTTGAGAACCACCAGAACACGGGCATTAACTTCGACGCGTACGAGGATATCCCCGTCGAAACCAGCGGCGACAATGTTCCCCCCCCGATCACCGCTTTCGACGGATCGGGGCTCCAGGTGCGTGGCGGACACGTGCTTGACGCGTGCGTGACGCGTGTGCTCGTGTTGGTTGTTGTCGTGAAAACACGCGGCCCAGTGGGGCTATTAATATGATTTCGTGGCTCAGTGCGTTGTTTACTCACGCTGAGACGGAAAGAATCGTCAAAATTCCCGCCATTCTTCGTTCCGCAATCATAACGGTCATTCTTCACCCGGTTCTCGCAAGCAGCGGTTAGGAAGAACCAGCGGCGCAACAGAGCTTCTGCAGCCCAATTTCTCCTCTTCCGTTGCATTTTTTCTCTCTCCCTTCTTCTATCCCACTTGCCCTCCTCTTCCAAACCGCCCTCGGCCGCGCATCTGACCATGACGGAGAATGCGCGGGACTGCAGAGCCCTCTCTCTGCTTTTGCTTTTTTCTTTTATCTTTTTTTCCTGGCCGCCCTAAACCCCGCCTGCAGACGGCGGTGATGGAGAACGTGCGGCGCTGCAACCACTCCAACCCCACGCCCGTGCAGCAGCACGCCATCCCCATCCCTCTCTTTTTTTTTCTCTTTCCCTTTTTTGCTTTTCTCCTCCATCTTTTTCTTCCCGACCGCCCTAATCCCCGCAGCCCGCGGTGATGGAGAACGTGAAGCGGTGCAACTACTCCAACCCCACGCCCGTGCAGCGGCACGCCATCCCCATCTCGCTCGCGGGCCGCGACCTCATGGCGTGCGCGCAGACGGGCTCCGGCAAGACCGCCGCCTTCTGCCTGCCCATCATCTCCGGCATCCTCGCCTCCGGCCCGCCGCCCGACCGCCCCCGCTTTGGCCGCAAAGCGTTCCCGCTCGCGTTGATTCTCTCGCCCACGCGCGAGCTCACCAGCCAGGTGAGAGATTGGACCAATAACGAGCTCTCGCCACGACTGCTCATGCTCTATGTGCCCCTCCCCTCCGTTCTCCACCGCACGTCTCCCCCCTCTCCCTCCGCAATCCGCCTACTCCATGCTTCGTGACCCCTCCCATCGTCTCTCCGTTCCCTTGTTCCATTGTTTCATTCTTCTTCTTGTTTTTAACGCCTCCGTACTGCTCTCGACTCCTCTGCGCGCCCACCTCGTTCTCTCCTTCCCCCTTCTCTTCCACGCCTCTCGCCCCTCATCCGTCTCCCCTCGCCCCTTTTCCCTCGCTCCTTCCCCTCTCAAACCCCGTCCTCTCGCCCCCTCATCCCCCCCTCTCCGCCTTCCCCGATCCCCCCCTTCCCCCCTCCCCCTCCCCTTCCGCCCCCCCTCTCCCCCTCCCCCCCGCCCCTCCCGCAGATCCACGCGGAGGCCTGCAAGTTCGCCTACAAGACCGGCCTGCGCGCCGTCGTCGTTTATGGGGGTGCCCCTGCCGGCCAGCAGGTAATTATATGCGTGACTGACGGCTAGCAGGTATCTGTTCTGCCCAGGAGTTTGGATTGGCCGGAAAAAAATGCGGGAAGGCGTTGCGGTATTGCGGCGTGCACTTAGCAATTGTGCATGGGTGCCTAAGAAAAGAGTTCAAGCAAACAAAATGAGAACAGTGGCGATTGCTGCTTAGGTTTGCGCTCTCTCACAAATAGGCTGTAACTGAAGTCCATATCATCGGTCTTCTTCTCATCGCACACGTGTGTTTCCTGTGGTGTGCGTTTCCGTGCCTCTGCTTTGAGCACGTGCTTGTTGGTGTGACCCTGCTGTGTCTGTGGCAATTCCTGCCGGGTTGCTGCACGCGTGTGTATGTGTGTGTGTGTGTGTGCGTGTATCATTCATTCCTGAATCCTTGCAGATGCGGGAGCTGGAGAGGGGAGTTGAAATTTTGGTCGCCACGCCTGGAAGGTACTCTCCCTTCCTCCTCCTCCTCCTCCTCCTCCTCCTCCTCCTCCTCCTCCTCCTCCTCCTCCTCCTCCTCCTCCTCCTCCTCCTCCTCCTCCTCCTCCTCCTCCTCCTCCTCCTCCTCCTCCTCCTCCTCCTCCTCCTCCTCCTCTTCCTCCTCCTCCTCCTTCCCACTAGCCACTAGCTATTGCTTTCGCTCACATCGACTTGCACAAGTTCACCATAAGGCTAACGTTCTGCTCCTTTACCGACCGCAGATCAGATCCTCTTTTCCAACACTCCTCACCCTGGTTCCCTTGCCCCCTCACACGTCACGTCACCCCCTGACTCATGACCCGTCACCCCCTGACAACCCACAGGCTGTGCGACATGTTGGAGCGAGGAAAGGTGTCAATCACAACGGTGCGCTACTTGGCCCTGGACGAGGCCGATCGCATGCTGGACATGGGGTTTGAACCGCAGATCCTCACTCTCCTCTCCTGTGCCCTGGCCCCTCTCTCCTGATACCCTCAGGCTGTGCGACATGCTCGAACGTGGCAAGGTGTCCATCACAATGGTGCGCTATCTGGCTCTCGACGAGGCCGACCGCATGCTGGACATGGGCTTTGAGCCGCAGATCCGGCGCATCGTGGAGCAGGAGGGCATGCCGCGTGCGGGGCAGCGGCAGACGCTCATGTTCTCCGCCACCTTCCCCAAGGAGATCCAGCGCCTCGCCGCCGACTTCCTCTGCAACTACGTGTTCCTCACTGTGGGGCGCGTGGGGTCGTCCACGGACCTCATTCAGCAGCGCGTGGAGTACGTGCCCGAGCACGACAAGCGGTCGGTTCTCATGGACCTCATTCACGCTCACCACACCTCCAATGGCGCTACTGGCAATGCGGTGAGTACACAACACAGTCAGGGGTTGAGGGGGGTCGTCCACAGATCTGATTCAGCAGCGCGTGGAGTATGTGCCCGAGCATGACAAGCGATCCGTGCTCATGGACCTCATTCACGCGCACCACACGTCCAACGGCGCTACTGGCAATGCAGTGAGTACACAGTCAGAAGGTGAGTACAAATCAGGTCGTGCGTGGGGTCGTCCACGGACCTCATTCAGCAGCGCGTGGAGTATGTGCCTGAACACGACAAGCGGTCGGTTCTGATGGACTTGATTCAAGTGCACCACACCTCCAATGGCGCTACTGGCAATGCAGTGAGTGCCTTGAGAATGTGGTTTGCTTTGCTCATGCGTGTCAGGTGGCGGGTGGGGGAGGGGTTGAACTTGGATGAGAGTGCTTGCTGAAATGGTGGATGCTGATGGGCGTGATTTACGTGCACCACATGTTCAATGGTGCTGCCGGCCATGCTCTCAGTGCTGTGGGGAACAAGAGGGGTTGAATCCGGATAGAAAGTTGTGAGATGCGATGGTTGGTGCTTGTGGATCTGACTCCCTGTCATCAGAATCCCTCTCTGTCGTATCCTCCCCTCATTTCATCAACCTACTCTCCTTCTCCCCACTCCCCCCACCACAGGGCGGGCTGACGCTGGTCTTTGTGGAGACCAAGAAGGGGGCCGACTCCCTCGAGGACTGGCTGTGTCGCAACGGATTCCCAGCCACGTCCATCCACGGCGACCGCTCGCAGCAGGAGCGCGAGTCCGCCCTGCGCTCCTTCCGCTCCGGCCGCACGCCCATCCTCGTCGCCACAGACGTGGCGGCGCGCGGGCTGGACATCCCGCACGTGAGCCACGTGATCAACTACGACCTGCCCTCCGACATCGACGACTACGTGCACCGCATCGGCCGCACCGGGCGCGCGGGGAAGACCGGGCTGGCGACGGCGTTTTTCTGCGACAAGGACACGAACCTGGCACGATCGCTGATTGAGTTGATGAGTGAGGCCAATCAGGAGGTGCCCGGGTGGTTGCAGAATTTCGCGACGCGGTCGGGGTATGGTGGGGGGAAGAGCAGACGAGGCGGGGGTGGGAACCGGTTTGGAGGGAGGGATTTCAGGAAGGACAGAGGGGGAGGCGGAGGGGGGTATGGAGGGGGTGGGTATGGCAGTGGCGGGTATGGAGGTGGGGGAGGGTACGGGGGTGGGTATGGTGGAGGAGGGGGGTATGGCGGTGGTGGTTATGGTGGCGGTGGTGGTGGGTACAGCAACGCTCCCCCTAGCGCCTGGGACTAGGCCCGCATGCGTTCCGCCCTCTGCCTTCTGCCTTCTCAACCGAAGGAGGGAGTTTCAGGGGGAGGAGAAGGAGTGGGGTGCGGTCCGAAGCTGTTCAGTTGTGGCGAGCTGACAGAGGAGTTGAGTCGTTGCTACACTTGGCGAGGTCTTTCGATAGTAGACGTTTTTAGGTACTGGAGTCTGTGCTTTGGCCTGGCACTGCTGCCGCCGCTGGTGCTGCTGCTGAGGCTACAGCTGCCTCCGCTGCTGGCACTGCCGCTGTTTAGGCTGACTCTGCTGCTGAGGCTGCTGCTCCCACAGCCTTTGCGGTTCGACTGTGCGTGACTGCAATGGGAGCCGTGGGAAGGTGCGTTTACCAGCTGCTGTGGGAACTTCAACAGGGGGGGGAGCTGGTCCCCTACCCCGACTGCACGTCTTCTCCCATTTGCCGACATTTCTGTGGTTGGAGTGAATGTGTTGCTGTGTTCGCCTTGGAATAGAACTGACAGCGCCTCAGCTTTGGTGGGGTGGGGCGCCTCAGCTCAAGCGCTGGCCCCTACAGCGCGGCTCTGGGCTTTGTTTGCAGGTGCAGCAGGAGTGGCTCTGCCACAGCCGCACAAGGGGCCTTGTGCCTTGTGCTCCGCGGTTGTGCACGAGTCGCAATCAGCCTTTGGTAGCAGCCAGCCAGGGGCTTGAGGTGCATGGGCTTGAGGTCTTCTTGAAACTCTCTTACCGTCTTCCTCCCTCTCCCCTCCCCCTTCTTCTCTCGTTCCCTTCCTCTTCTCTAGTTCCCTTCCTCTCGGTCTTATTTCCTCCTAGATGCCTTCTCTTTTTGGACCAAAACCAAGGGCAGCATGAATTGGGGTAGGCAGATCTGTCTGGGCTTCTCCCTGTAAAGGGGATGCTTGGGCTTGGGGACTGCTAGAGCACAGGCGATGTCACTTCCTGGTAGACGTAGGCTTGGAGATGAGCCTTGAAAAGCCGCTTCGGCTTTCACAAGGCCTTGTCTCTGGGCCCTTCCGAGGGCCATTGGGCTTTCCTTCTGGGCCTGTCTATGGGTCAATATGGTTTGCTACTTGCCTCCGTGCTTGTGTCTCTGGTACCCATGCCTTGTCCTGCAGAGTGCCTCTGCCTCAATTTTGATGAAGCTGGGCCTACACCATTAGTAATGAAACTCTCAGACCATTTTCTTAATGTTTTGCTGGTTTATCTCATCTTCACATATGGTCAGAAATGCTAACCTTATCGGTTCGTGTTTTATTGATTTATATGTTTTTGCACAGAGCTCACTGGCAATAATTGCTTTTCCGCCAATCCACGGCAGTATCTCGTTCACAGGCCAGCTGAACATCTTTTTGAGACTATGGTCAACCGTCGGATCCTTCCCATCTCAGAATCGGACGATTGTCACCAGAAGTCCTGGAGATTCTGCCCGAAAGCTACCGTGTTCCATCAAGGAGACTCCGCCGCGGTGTGCGCTCCCTGCAAATCTCCTTGCTCCTGACACATCAATAAATCGACGGCCACGATTGAACACCACCATTTTCCTCCTCCTCTCCCCACCCTCCCCTCAATTCCTCCATCCCTGTCGCTCATCCTTGTGACGCGTTTCATGCTAGTACGGGCCGCTGCATTATAGCTCGTTCCACATTATAGTAGTCCACCTATTTTTGACCCCCCTCGCTGAGGTAGCGCCTTTTCCCGAATGCCCGCTTCGTGGATCGCGTCCAGCGCAAGCTGGGCGGGCTGGCGCGCGCCATCAGCGCGCATTCTCGCGCCATTAGTGCGCATTCGCGCGCCGCTAGTGCGCATTCGCACAAGGAATCGTAGCGATGAGTGGCAAACGCTTCGAAACCGCAGAAGAGAAGGTAGCAAGGGCGGATGAGCGAGAGGGATCAAAGGAAATCGAGGCATCTTTTTCTCCTTGGCTCCTAAGCCATCTCCGCGCGATTTCATCTTCTGCTTGACTCTCGTGAGTGCGCTCGGCGAATTTCCACTCCTGATTGACCCTCCCAGCAACCTGTTTCCCGAGCAGCCAATGAGGACCGAGATCGTCCGACAGCGATCCTTCACACCGCCATAGCCCAGCTCTCAGTAGCCGTCAGTATTCGGAATGCTAGCACTCGACCCTAGTGATTCCCAGACAGCACTCGACTAGTACCCAGACATGCAGGTCACACGACTACTAGGAATTTCCAGTTTTTTTCCGTAGTAACGCATCAGGAAATTACGAAGAGACTGAACGAGACACGTGAACGGCTACTAGATTCCCCTCACATTCTTCCGTTTCGTAGAACCTCTCTGCACCGCTGTCAACTCCGCAATCCGCGAGCCATTCGCCTCAGTATCTAGAGAATCAGCCGTAGCGCGCCAGCTGGCGTAACACGCGCTGATTGGACGAAGAATAGGCGAAGAGCTGAAGCGGCGAGAAGCCGGAAAGTAAGGATCTAGCAGTGAAGTTAGTCCGACAAAGCGAGGACTTGGAAGAAAACGAGGGCTATTCGGAGCGGTGAAGCAATTCAGTTTCAGGGTGCAAGTCAAAGACACCCGACTGATTGAGGTGTAGACCCGGCCGGCCTTGGTGTAGACAGATAGCTGCTTTCAGACACCTAACCGCCAGACAGAGTCTGTGCGGCTCAGGTTTGGACAAGGTGCACCCGTTGAGTTTAGCACGCCAGACACCTCTTTGCGAAGAGGCCCAGATAACCGCCAACTTGAATAACCGGAGCCGCCGGATTCGCAGGCACTTCGTTGGATTGGATTGGATCCCAGGGTGGTGTGGTCGGGAACCCCCGTGGGCGGCGCACGTCCGCTTGCCTCTTGACCGCGGAAGCAGGCGCAACCAAGCGCGCGCAAAAGGCGGAAGCAGGCGCGCGGACGCGGAAGCAGGCGCGTGTGTGGGGGGCGAATGGCGGCGATGTGGAGCTGTGAGGGGCAGCGGGGGCGGAAGCAGCCTCGAAGCGTCGTGCCGCTGAGCGTGTGGCTCGTCCTGTTGCTGCCCGCCTGCCCGCACGCCCTCGCCTCGCACGCTGGTAAGGCATGGCGCATGGCGCACGGCGCATGGCGCACGGCGCATGGCGCACGGCACATGGCGCATGGCGCATGGCGCACGGCGCATGGCGCACGGCGCATGGCGCATGGCGCATGGCGCATGGCGCATGGCGCATGGTGTTGGAAGGGCGGAGAGGGTGGATGGCTGCTTGCTTCCTGCTAGCTCGTCTGTCCGTGCCACATTCTCATGTCATGGCTCGTCCCATAACTCGTCCCATAACTCGTCCCATACCTACCTCGTCCCATGCCTCATCCCATACCTCGTCCCATACCTCGTCCCATACCTCATCCCATACCTCGTCCCATACCTCATCCCATACCTCGTCCCATGCCTCATCACGTGCCACGTCCCATGCCTCATCACATGCCGCGTCCCTTGGTGTGCCGTCCCCCCTGCAGGTCGGCTGTTGCTGCTGGGCGTGGGCACACCACCGCGGCGACTACTGGCGGACATGCCCCTTAGTGAGCCCCCATCTGCCCCTCTCTTCCTCCTCTCGCTCTCCCCTCCTCGTCTCTTCTTTCCCACTCGCTTTCCTCTCTCACTCAACGCCTCACTTCATCCTTTTCTCTCGCCTCACCTCTCGCACCGCCCCCCCTCGACCCAACCCAACCCTCACCTGTTACTCCCACCTCTTACCTTCTCCTTGTACCAGCAAACGGCTCACATTTTGCCATGTTTCAAATCACTGCCCGTACCTTATCATCGTTTATTTTCCCCCTTTCCTTTCCTTATCCCGCACTATTCTCTCTCCTCCCCCGTCGTCCTCGCGCATTCCTCCCTGCGCCTCCTCACACCTCCAGCCTCTGTTGTCCCTATCTCCCCCGCATCTCCTTCGGAATCCCCTGCGGCATCTCCACCAGCGAGCACTCTCCTCGCGCTCATCGTCACATCAACCGTGCTCTTTGTGGGGGTAGTCATCCTCGTTATAGTCTTCTGCAGGACAAGGAGACGCTGTGAGTCCCTTAGCCACACCTCCCCTCCTTTCCATTCCCGTTATAATCAAGTATTCCTGCTTTTCCATGTACCAACATCCCCTGTAAAGGTTGTCTCTCGATATATGACCACATATTTTTTCTCTCTTTCTTTCTTGTTTCAACGAGTCCTCAAAAGCTCGCTGCACGAGCCATCACAACCACCACTCACTCCCCCTCCTCTTTCTTTCACTCCCTCCCCTCCCCTCTCGCCTCTCCCTCCCCGCCCCTCCCGCTCCCCCTCCCCTCACCTCCACCCACATCCCTGCCAGCCCCCCAAGTGGCCCCTTTGGACGGCAAGGCAACCGGCATAGTTGACAGCGACAGTGAGAAGGGGAACGGGGAGGGGGAGGAGGGCGAGGAGGGGGAGGAGGGGGAGGGCGGGTACAGGCCGGTGGAGCAGTGGAGCTGGGAGGAGGTGGAGGCTGCAACTGATGGCTTTAGCGAGGAGCGCACTATCGAGGACGCGGGGCACTCGGCGGTGTTCAGAGCGGTGGGGCGCGGTGGAGAGGAGCTGGCGGTGAAGCGCGCCAAGCGGGTGTCAGTGGAGGGGCAACACCTCTTCCGCAACCAGGTCAGCTCATTTGCTCCTCTCTTCGCTCATTTGCACTGCTCTTCGCTCAATTTCTTTGATCATTTGCTCCTCTCGTCTCTCAATTGCGGTTGTCATGGCCGGCTCGCTTTCCTTGCCTTCGCAGGTAAAAATCCTCAATGATGTGTGCGCCATCCCAGCATGCTTTTGCTGCTGCTGCTGCAGCACCCAGACATTGACCTTCGCATTGCCATCACTCACCGCAATACCCCTTCCCCTCCCCATCGCAGGTGGAGTTTCTGGAGGGAGTGCGCCATCCCAACATCATGGCGCTGCTGGCCTGTAGCAGCCTGGCATGAGCAGTGACAAGCCCTCACATTGCCATGCCCCCTCACTGCACTCCCCTCCCCCACCTCGTCGCAGGTCGAGTTCCTGGAGGGAGTACGCCATCCCAACATCGTGGCGCTGCTCGCATTCAGTGACGACCGCAACGAGCAGATCCTGGTCTTTGAGTTCGTGCCCAACGGCTGCCTCACTGACTGGCTCAGGCCCGTGGACGGTGAGTGACCTCTCCCCATCAGCGCCGGTGCTCGTCCAGGTGTCACCTCGCTCTCTGCAATCAACGCGCACATGTCCATCCAACCAGCAGACCCTTGTGTTTGAGTTCGTGCCCAACGGCTCGCTCACTGACTGGCTGCGACCGCTGGACGGTGAGCAAGCTGCTATTGTTAAGGCCTTCAGGAGGGCTTGTCCCCCTCTTCCCCTCAACGCCAGTGTACATGCATACACATCTAACCCATGCCCCCACACCCCCTTTCTCATGCCCGCTTGCCTCCCCTCTCCATGCCCCATGCCCCGTGCCCCCCAACCAGTCTCCAAGCCTGCGTTGACGTTCGGGCAGCGCCTGGCGATAGGAGCGGAGGTGGCGCGGGCAATCAAGTACCTGCACGCCATGACGCCCCCTGTGCTGCACCGGGACATCAAATCCGAGACCATTCTGCTCGATAACGACTTCAAGGTGCACTCATGCCTCGTTATGAGATGATTCGTTACCTGCCTAGTTTGAGTTGACTAGCTTGTGCTGCTGTTTCTGCACCACTCTGACTGCTCTGCGGCGCTCTGCTGCTCACACTCCTTGCTCTTCCCCTTGGTTAACCCCTATCTCTTCTTGCCCCACTATCAGGTCAAGTTGGGCGGCCTGGGCGTGCTGAAGCACCTGCCAGTGGAGGCGATGCAGCTGCTTCTACAGCACTCCGACTGCTCTGCAGCGCATACAATCACTCTCTCACCCTACCCTACCCTTCCCACTCTCTTTGTGTGTTTAACCCCTGTCTCCTGCCCCACCATCAGGTCAAGCTGGGGGGCCTGGGAGTGCTGAAACACCTGCCGGGGGAGGCGATGAGGCTGCGCATGCAGCGCAAGCGCGGCTACCTGGACCCGGAGTACTTCCAGAGCTTCCGCATCACCAGCAAGTGCGATGTGTACAGGTGCGTGCGAAATCTTTGTGTAGAATCTTTGGGTGTGCAGATGAGTACAATACTTGTACCATATACTAAAACTCGTTACCTATCCATACTGGTTCCCCAATGCAGTTTCGGAGTGGTGCTGCTGGAGTTGATTACAGCGAAGCTGCCTATAGTGGATGAGAAGGACATTGTCATGGGATCCCGCACCAGCAAGCGATTCGTTACCCTCGTGCAGTGGGTGAGTCACGCCGTATCATTTTGTTCTTTTTGCATGTCTTATGACACAGAAACGTTGCACAGCGAAGGTGTTGTTACGACACCACATGCAAGCGGGTTGCATCCCTTTACCACAAACATTCCCACATTAGTTCCACCCAACTAAACCGCATTCCACCCTTCTGCGCCACTATTCCAGGCCCTTCCGAAGATCAAGGAGGGGAAGTACAACGCCATGGTGGAAGGAGCTTCCCCCGTGAGGATGACTTATGAGGCGTCTCAAACACCTCCTCCCACCTCTCTGTGCTATCCTTCCAGGCCCTTCCGAAGATCAAGGAGGGGAAGTACAATGAAATGGTGGACCCGCTCCTGGGAGCATACCCGGGGGATCTCATGGAGATCTTCTGTGGCATCGCTGCTGAGTGCGTGTCGCCGCAGCGCAAGAACCGGCCTGACATCGACGTGGTGTCTGCCTGGATGGACGAGCTCATGCAGAAGGATGCCGCATCGCGGGAGCCGCTCTCTCGGTTCATGCGAGGGGTGCCAGAAGAGGAGGAAGTGGAGGAGGATGAGAACGCAGAGGAGGTGGGTGAGGTGGTGAAGAGAGGGGGGGAGGGGAAGGAGGTGGTGGTGGTGATGGCAGAGGAAGCTGGTGACGGGGAGAATGTCCGGGAACGGAGCAAAGAGAGTCTCACGGATGGCCCTGCTCCTGATGGTGGGACTGAGATTGTTGCTTCTTCAGCTGATTCGGTTGGTGCCGAAACAGATGTTGGCCTCAGTGCAGGTGCTGCTGCTGTTACGTCTGCTGCTGTTGTGAGTGCTGAAGTTTGCATCGCAGTTGATGGAAACGTGGCACCAGCTCAAAAAGAGGATGATCATGTGGGTGCAGAGGTACATGCTGGACTTGGGACTTAGCTCCTGTTTACAGTTGCACTGTACCATAATAATGCCAACGTTGCATCGTTTAGACATTGTATGAATCTGGATGTGGGGTTGGGACTGGGCGGCGTGACATGCTCTGATCAGGGAATTGTCTGCATTCTGTAATTCCAAGTGTGTGTTTGTGGCTTGATACCGGTACAGTATTTTATGCATTCCAGGGTGCACATATGTTATACAATGTAACACACACTAGCAAGAACGGTTCTCAGTTCCTTAGCCAACTGCATGGTACCTGGGTGGAGCTTCAATGGAGGACCGGAGGTGCGAGATGTGGTAGTAAAAAAATGGCCCTTGGGGGACAGAAAGCTAGGAGCTGCAACTGAGTGGCAGGATTGCACACCATGCAACTCAGACATCTACAACACAAATGCAGCTCCATATGCAGAGTGGGAGCCCTATGCTAATCATCAAACACTGGTAAGAGACCAGCATTGTAAATACATCAATGGGCTCCAAAAGTACGGCAAATCGCCAAGGTCGATTTCATCAACTAGGACACAGTGCGGCCATAGCTGATGGATGAAATGTAGAGATTCTTTGCCCATTTTTCCTGCATATGGTTAAAATGCACTGTGGTCAGTGCACACGTACACAGCAACAAACAGCAGGGCAGGAATGCATGTCTGAACACTGACCTTAACATGTGTGCTTGGAAAGGCCGAAGTTCTCAGAGTCTCCTGAGTCTCATCCGCAGGACGGCGCCTCGGGATGCTTAACAGAAAGGCAGCTTGGTCCCAAGTTGCCGCAGTTGCTGTAATCCGGTAACCAGCATCCCATCGGCGATGGATCCCTTCACTCGGGTACAGAAAGTCGAGCTCAACAACCTGGGGGTAAAGAGAAAAAAAAGGGGTAACCAAAGAATAATAATGCATGGCAAAATCCAATAGAAAATTTGGTTACATACCTGATCCGTGAAGCCAGCATTCCGTGACATAACCACCCCCCATCTGCTGCCCGCAGTTGCCATGGATGTGACATAGAAGCCTTCCCTCCATTTCTTGTTGATCCACTTGAAGGGGAACGAGTCACTTACTTTGTATGATTGTTGTGTATAGGATGTTCCTGTTAGCAACAACACGGACAAGCCATTGAGCTACAGCTCCTGAAGCCAACCATGACAAGAATATGGCATACCTCACCTTTAGACATAACCACCAATGAATTTCCATTGCTGGCCCCTGCAATTGAGGTAATGTAATAATTCCGCTCCCATTGTTCCATAATCCATTCCTGTGAAAATCAACTCAGCCATTAGCTTGGGAATTAAAGCCTGAAGCATAATGGAGGGATTTGAAGCCTAAAAAAGCATACCTTTGGAAGGAAGACATGTGAGAGCTCATAGACTTGAGAAGTGAAGTTTGTGCCAGCATCCATGATGAGAGCCCACAAATTCTGGCATGATGCCACACTGCTAATAAAAAGTCCGTCCTCATTTCCTTTCTCCACATGTTGTGCTAGTCTCGCGTCAGCCACGTTGTAGTGGTATCTGAAAAACAAGACACAAAGCACAGGAACAAAGAATCATGCTTGAGCAGGGATAAGTGAGTGCGAGGTGGAGTGAGGAGGGGGCTGGGGGGGATGAAAGAGGATAAACAAGGGTACAGAAGAGAAAGCGGGAGAGAAATAATCAGAGTAAAGTAGATGGGAATCCACTATGATGTAAACAATCGTTCATGTCTTAGTACCTTTGCTTCATTGGCCGACGAGCACTGTACACAGAGATCCACTGGGTGGCCGGCATTCCGAGCCTAACCTTCTTCTTTGGTTGGTCGTCAGCTTCCTCTTCTGCTGTCAAACGTCCACGCTTCTGACCCACCTGCAAAATAAGGTGCAAGTTCAGAATCCTAGCCTGGTGGAATTGCCAAAAACCATGCACAACGGCGACAGCTATGCACCTTCAAAGCGCCTTCTGTGTCAATAGGCCGGTGCGCCGGAATGGGTCCCAAAACAGGGTCGAACATCGCAATGCACTTGGCATAGTTTGGCTCCTCATCAAATTTCAGATTCACCACATACTCCAGAAAGAGCTTGAACGGAACTGGGCAAAAACAGCACAGCATCTCAGGAGATGTGGCCATCTTCTTCTTGCAAACCAAGAAGCCCTTGTTGTCTCCCTGCTCAGTCAAAAAAGTTCCCACATTAGCAGCAGCGGAAAGAGCTAGCAGATGACCTTTCAGCAGAAATTACTCACCTGATAGCCCTGCCATGGCAAGCGACCCCGTAGAAGAAAGACCAGAGTGTAAGCCAGGGACTCTAAATCATCTCTCCTACTGCCTGTGCGGCCAAGATGCGCATGGACACTGGCATATCGGACCGTTCCCCTGCACGAGCAGAACGAAGTTCCACATTGTCACAAGGGGACCGAAAGCACCATAAAAGGCAACTCAACTAGTGCACGGACATCATGAGTACCTGAATATGTCTGGACGTTGATCATACTCCACATGCTGACCAGAAGTCGCGTCTTTCCATCGTGTTGCTGGCAGGCACCAATAAAATTGATATTAGTGCTAATGAAACAGCGGAATACCTGTCGACAATCGTTTTGTATACATTACCGAGTCCGAGATCAACAAGGTACAGCTTCTTCTCGTCGGGAGATCCTGGTTGGCCTAGAAGGAAGTTTTCTGGCTTCACGTCTCCATGGACATATCTGAAATTGCAACAAACAACAAATACATTAACCCCAGCTTACGTTTCGTACCACAAGACAGACGACCAGCACGGGTTTAACTTACCCCCGTGCGTGCAATTTCTCGAGAATAGAAAGAGCTTCCACGGCGATGCATGCTACCATTTCCGTTGACATCCTGAAATCGTCGATGACACGATGTTAGACAGCTGGCAGTGTAAGAAGGTTAATCGAAATAAAAAATACACTTACGCTTGGTTGGAATTGTTCCAGACGTCCCACAAACTCGGTCCGAGCATATCCATGACCTGTACGCAAAGAATCATAGCACTTAAGGAAAAGGCTGGGATTCGGAATAAGGATGACGTCGAAGCTTTGGGACATGCGTACCATGACGTAATAGTCGCCTTGTCTGCCTTTGTAGTGAACCCTAGGAACTCCATGACTCCCTCCAAGCGTGCTGTCATGACGGGAATTCGTTAGGCAAAGAGATGTGGGTTTCGAAGAGACCAAACGTGCATAAAGGGAGACCAAACCTTACTTGTAAACTTGCCACTCGTACGGAGGCCCATAATTACATCCCTTGCTGCTTCTATGCTCGAATTTCAGTGCCACCTGCGATCAGAAGAACGATTTATTGAAGTTCCTGGGACTAGTTGAGCATAAGAAGGACCGAAAAGTAAGATATTGCGTTCACTACCTCGACAGCATGAGGGCCAACACGCTCAGTCCCTCCGTGAACTCTACGACCCACGTAAACTTGACCGAAACCTCCCTTCCCCAGCTTCCGATCCATCTTGTACACTGGTGATCCGCCGACTTGAACCTGAGAACCAAAACGAGAGGGTCATTATGAACCGTGGATTGGATTTACGGGGAAAACATGCTAGATAGGTGTATACCCTTTCCGGAAGCGGTGCGATTCCTCCATCATCTTCCGCGGGTTTCTCTCCCGTCTTCTTTTCACTTTCACCTTCCATTGCAGCAGCAAGTTACAGAAACAAGCTAATGCCAACTAATGGACCTTTCAGCAGTGCTAACACAAGCTAAGCAGACACAGTTGCTGCTAGGGTTACAACCGCCGGGTTGGAGGGATCTGTGTAGTTGCTGGTGTGGTGGTGGTGGGTGCGAGCAGAGAGGGAGGGATGATCTAGAAGGGGTGATGCCATCATGCCATCCGTTCTGGCAGGGAAGGTGAAAACATGACAGAAAATAAGCGGGGAAATTGAGAAAATTTGTCAGAATACGGCAAGCTTTCGACGGATCGCGTTTATTCATCCAGCCCCCGCTTTCCAAACCACCTAGCTTGGTTCGGATTATTGATGAGCCAAAACCTTGTTTAGAATAAACTCATAGACGCACATGAACGGAAGTGTATGCATTATAGTGTCGTGTCGAGGCCCATCCATGAGCCACTTTCAAGTGTACTTCTCCAGCCAGCCACATTGTTGATTCCACCACCACATAAAACCTCACAGAAGCACGCAGAAGAACTCGGGACCACGACTCTTTACGGCAAGCATCCAAGTCAACCAGAAGCTTGTTTCGGCACGGCAATTTTCTTGAAGACGGGGTCTCTTCCTTGCTTTTCTAGACCACCACCACCCATGGCTAACAAGGGCAAGGCACGGAAGTTTTGCTGCATGTTGACCTCCTCAGTGGTGCGTTGATAACGAATCTTATGCTTATCTAAGATCGTCATAGTGGCTATTTTATTTATGGCCGGCTCAGTGGCGCGTTGATAACGAAGCTTATGCTTATATAAGATCGTCATAGTGGCTTTTTTATTTATGGCCGGCTCATTGTTTCTCCGAGTTCGTAGTTGACACGGGTGGCTGTGCCATGGGAAAAGCTGTGAAAGAAGCGACGCACTGTGTGTGTTTGTAGGCCGTCAAGTGGAACTCGTGTTAATTTCCGTCAGCATGGGCTGTTGTGTGTCTATAGACGAGGAGGTCGTACGGCCGACCACACCACGCAAGCCTGAGACTCCTAGAGAAGGTAAGTACAACGCAGAGTCTCCCCGCGCGGACCTGTCTGTTTGTAATTGTTTAACAACTGAAATCGTCCTATTGTCGCCGTGTCAGGTTCTGTATCCCTCGTCTATTGTGACCTCACTTACCCAAGCCCTATTGTCACCCTTGCTTTGCAATTTGCCCTTTTTTTCCTCCGTAGCGATCAAGAAACAATCGACTGGTGATCACCCCGTCGGGACCATAGACGATATAATAGGCTCTAGCACCTCCTCGAGCCAGCATCAGCGCGTTGCTTCGGGAGGAGGCAGCGGAGCCGCGTCTGCAGGAGAGAGCAGGAGATCGAACGGCTCAGCACCTGGGAGTCAAGTTGGCACGAGTGTTGGTCACTCAGACGCTGGTCGCGTGATCATCAGCGTAGGGCACCACAGCGGCACCGGGACCACTGAGCTGACTGTTGACGCCTCGTTAAGAGAATTCTCGTTTAGGGAGCTGGAGAAAGCAGCGAAAGGTTTCAGAGACGATGGAAAGCTTGGCGAGGGAGGGTTTGGGAGCGTGTATAAAGGGACTATAGATTCAAACGCATCTGGGGGAGGGCAGAAGGTCGCCATAAAGATGCTAACGCTGGACGGGACACAAGGAGACCAGGAATGGATGGTAAGTTCTGATGGTGGAAGAGACGCAACGTGTGTTGGGAGGGGGAATGGTAGCTTGAATGGAGGAGTGGGAGCTAAAATTACTTCTGATGACGTCTCCGTTTGACCTAAATTGCCATTCATTGTATTGTCCACACTCTACGTTGGTTGTTTTTTACGCGCAGCATTCAGATCCAATCATCAACATTTCTCTCTCTTTTCCTTTCCAGGCTGAGGTTCGGTACCTGGGCGAGCTTCGGCACCCGAACCTGGTGCGGCTAGTAGGATACTGTGCAGAGGACATGCAGCGTTTGCTGGTGTACGAGTTCATGGAATATGGCAGCCTTGAGAGATACCTCTTTTCTCGTGAGCGGCATTCCTGCTTTCGTCATTACGCACTTCAACTGTTTCCTTTTAATTCAATTTATGTCACTATACTTGCTCAATTTAAGCTTTTCACAGGAGGTTCTTTGTCGAGGCTTGAAGAGCAATGCCACTTTCAATTGACTCCAGTTGATCCCCCTGACTGGTGCAGGCACACGGGACCCATTGCCATGGGACATTCGCATGAAGGTGGCGCTGCATGCTGCTCGCGGCCTTGCGTTCCTGCATGAGGGGACGGAGCCGCAGGTCATCTACCGAGATTTTAAGACATCCAACATTCTCGTTGACAGGGTGAGTCTTTGCTGCTCACCATGCTGCCAAGGGGAATGTTGCTGCTAGGCATCTGCCAAGGGTAACGCTACTAGAAACATTGCCAAGGGTATTGCTGCTAGAAATGCTGCTGAGGTGAATGCTGCTAGAAACGTCGTCTGGGGGTATTCTGCTGAATATGCTGTCAGGGCGAGTGGTGGTGGCCAAGGGTATTGGTTCTGATGGCATGTATGATCCAGCACTCGATGCTCACGATTTTTTGCCTCCCTACCCACAATTGATCCGCTCCTTTTCCATCTCTTCCACTTCCCTCTCTTAATTCCTTGCAGGAGTTCAATGCGAAGCTGTCTGACTTTGGGTTGGCAAGGGATGGGCCCCAGGGAGGCAACACACATGTTTCCACACGAGTCATGGGCACCTTCGGCTATGCCGCCCCTGAATATGTGCTCACCGGTACGCGCTTGCGGCCCTGTCAGTTCAAGTCACCAGTCTCTTTATTTTTCGGCCTAAATAACCAATTTGCTGCGATTTTTCCAGGTTAACCAATCTGTTACACTTTTGTTCCAAATCATCAATTTGTTCCTTGTTCAAATTCATCACCAGTTCGCGTGTCTATCTCCCTTAGAAACCTTGCCTTTTTCCTCTCTTCCTGTATGTGTGTCTCACGTGGCTTCCCTCAGGCCACCTGACAGCCAAGTCGGACATCTACAGCTTTGGTGTGGTGCTGCTGGAGATGATTGCTGGGCGCAAAGCCATGGAGCAGCAGCTGCCCAAGTCAGAGCAGAACATCATCGACTGGGCACGCCCCTACTTCCGCGACCGCTCCCAGCTGCCACGCCTTCTAGACAAGCGCATTGTGGCAGCTGCCCAGGCCAAGCAGCAGCCCATGCCGCTGGCTAAGGCGGTGGCGAAGGCGGCGTTGATTGCGCAGTGCTGCGTGAAGGTGGAGCCAAAAGAGAGGCCTGCCATGTCTGATGTGGTCAGGTCCTTGGAAGGTGTGCTGCAAATGTCCGTGCCTGCTGCGCCTGCCTCTGCTGCTGGAGGCACATAGCATGGGTGCGACCTCTGTGACTCTTGCATTGCATGCCAATGTGTAGAAGCAGAAGAAATTACTGCACGATGGAGCAGAAGCTGATCAAAGTGGAGCAACATCATTCACTTGGCAGGCTTTCCAGCTAAACTGGGGGTAGATGGAGGTGACTACTGATGATGGTAGTTAGCATGCAGTTTAGAACTAGTGGGGCCCATGTTTGGTTTGAAATCAATGAAGCATGGTTGTTTACAATCACGGTCGCAAAGCAGAGTTGATGCCTAGTCAATGAGGATCATGTTGAGAGGGTATTGATAAAAAGGTATGGTATGCATCTCACTGAGGCTACATTAGGCTTCTAAGCAGACTAATTTCATAGTCCGTTCCTGCAGTTCTAGTTGAATAAAATGGCTAGCTAAGGCCTGATTGTTGCGTGAAGAATGGAAACCTGGACAAAATGCCATCACTGAAGCGTATTCCCTGCATAACATACAATGAGGAAGTCAAAGCACATGGTTAGCAACGAGCAGAGGGAGCAAAGCCTGTAGGGAAGAACCTTGCCAAAAACACTCTACAACTGACCTGAGGACGCGTTCCGCTTGCACTCAGTCAGCATATCCAGGTAAAACTGGCACTTGGAGATGTCACTCCCGTGCATTTCCACGCACTGCTCAGAGTAGACAAGCAGTGAGGAGCATCGTGAGAACTTGTACCGAAAGCAAAACCGCACTTCATGCATTAAATTCCCATGGAAAGCAGATCCGTCGGGAACATCTCAGATCGGACCTCTGGAACGAATGCCTACCTTGTTGAAATCCTGCTGCAGCTGAGCGCAGTCTGTGGAAGAGCTGGCAGTGGCAGGAGCGGCAGCGGGCGCAGCAGCAGGCGCGGCTGCAGGCGCGGCGGAGTTGACGTGCTCGTGCACGACAGTGCGCGGACCCATGATGGCATCCACGGCTCTGTTGGCAATGGCGGACCCTGTTCCGAACGCCATGCCCTCTCCCACCGTCTGCATCAACCCACCCAGCATGCTCCCCCCTCCAGAGGCTGCTGCTGGTTGCGCTGGGGGAGGCGCCGGTTGCGCTGCTGCGCAAGCGATGGGGAGGAGAGAACACGAGAATGCAGGATGCCAAGAAAAGACACGAAGTGGAGGATATAAAAGCAGGCGTTGAAAATCCGACGAATCGAAACGGATCATGCACGAGAAGGGCGAGATCGGTCTGACCCAATGGAGTACCTGGTGCGGGTGGAGGCGCGGAGTGAGTGTGCGACGCAGGTGCTGGCCTCGGAGCTGGTCTCGCCGGAGCAGAGGCCCTCGATCCTGCCGGCGAGAGAGATCAAAGAAGACAGAAATACAATGATTCAGAGGAAACGGAATGTCGGTGACCACGTAGAAATCATAATGAATCGAGATACTGGTCCCAATAAACAAACGCCTACCAGAAGATCTGCTGGTCGCACGCGGCATCCTGTCTACTGAATGGTAGCGATGAGATAGATACGGGGCGCGGAAACACAGCGATCGCTTGATCCCGCAAGGAGAATGCTTCAGAACGTAAGGTATCTACGAAAGATGGGCGAACTCGTTCAAGTAAGGTAGCTATGGCGAACCAGACTAGTACGCGAGAAAGAAAAGAACGAGTGGCAGCGAAAAGCAGATGTCCCCAAGGTTGCTTGGTTGGTTTGGGCCTTCGGTGTAATCGAGGAGCCACGACTTACGAAGACTTGACAGCCTTCGCAGCGATGGCGACAGCTTTCGCAACACGCAACCACCAATTGATCTCCACCGCCCCTCCAGAAAGTTCGGCACCCAATCGTTAGTGATTGGTGAACTCCCCTAGCCGAATCAATCCACGATATAAAGAGACCCTTTCAGCAGACGGTAGATTGTTCCACTTTCCAGATATCAAATGCAGCGATCTTACTGATTCCGTGTTTGGAGCGAGTGTCTGATTATAACGCGTTGTAAGGGAAGCGCGGATGCCGCAATGGAAAGTCGAATAATTTGACAACCAGAAATGCAGATTTCCTGTTCGCGATTAGAAACGCCACACATTGACACTACTTACTACCGCTTATGCCGCGATTCCGTCATTCAACGGTCGCGATTCTTGCAGACCCGCTGCTCAGCGTTTATCCTATTGTCCAGATTCGGTGCGCTTGAGGCTCGCAGGCGCGCTCATGGCGACGACAACGCAGCCGCTGCTGCCGTCTCAGGCAGACTCTGTCGATGACCTCTTTCGCTCCACGCCCGCTCTTTCCCACGAATACAGCGGCGTCGCTCCTGCCAGCGTCGCCAGCGTCGCCAGCGCCGTCAGCGCCGCCATCCCCCCGCCGCGCCCGCAGAACACGCTGACGGGTGAGTCGGGCTGAGAGTCAGGGGAGCCAGTCGCATGGGGAGTCAGTCCATGAGGAGTCAGTCGCATGGGGAGTCAGTCGCATGGGGAGTCAGTCGCATGGGGAGTCAGTCGCATGGGGAGTCAGTCGCATGGGGAGTCAGTCGCATGGGGAGTCAGTCCATGAGGAGTCAGTCGCGTGGAGATTCAGTCGCATGAGGAGTCAGTCGAGTTGAGGTTCCCTCACTTATTTCACTTTTCCTCCTCCCCTCCCTGCCTCTCCTCCTGCCAGAGCCCCTGTCAGAACCCTGTGGAGAGACGTGCAGTGAGAGAGGGCGAATCTCGAGTCCACTCAATAGAAGCCCTCTTTCCATTCCACTCTTCTTCCTCCCCTTCTCTTCCCCGCCTCTCCTCCCACCAGAAAATCTATCAGTAATCCTGTGGAGGGACGAACTGGGGGTTTGGTTGAATTTTGAGTCGAATCAAGTCATGCCCTCCTTCCACTACTCCTCCTCCGCACATTCTATTTCTCCTTCCATTCCACGCCTCCTCCCCTCCCATCCCCGCCTCGCCTCACCAGAGCCTGTACCAGAGAAACTCTGAGAGAGGCATGCAGCGAGAGAGGGCGAAGTTTAAGTTGTCTGATGAAATATTTTATTTGCGTTTATCCTCATCTCCTCGTCGCCCCACATCTCCCCCCACCAGAGCCCGTATCAGAGACCCTGCGGAGGGACGTGCAGCGAGTGTGGGTGAACCTGCGGTGTGTGCTTGTACCGAGCGAACGAAGCTCCCTCAGAGACTGGGACCTGTGGGGTCCGTTCTTCTTTATAATCACCCTCGCGCTGCTGCTCTCCTCGTCTGCCACTCACAACAAGGTGAGCATAATGGGCGCAGATCAAGGTGAGTGTAGCGAAGGCAGAGCTGTGCAGAGCTGTGCAGAGCTGTGCAGAGCTGTGCGGTTCTAGACAAATGCTATTTTAGTCATCCACTATCAAACATTCTGGTCGCTAGACACCAGCATGCGACTTGCAAACTATCTGCGCTGTTCCATCTTGCATTGGCTAAAGAAAGGGTTTGCTCATTCAGTGAATCATCTGTTCTCTGTGTGTCACAGGCGCATGTGTTTGCAGTGGTGTTCGGAACAGTATCAACAGGAGCCGTTGTCCTCACTCTAAACGTGCAACTGCTGGTGAGTGCCTCATAAGCAATCCGCCACTCACTCAGGCACACACTCCGCCACATACTCGGCCAGAAACATGTTTGTCTCTCCACTTCGTCGCCCATCATGCTTCTCACTGCACCCCTCGGGCTTCCCCATGCCCCTCTGCATCTCACTGCACCCCTCAGGCTTCCCCATGCCCCTCTGCATCTCACTGCACCCCTCAGGCTTCCCCATGCCCCTCTGCATCTCACTGCACCCCTCAGGCTTCCCCATGCCCCTCTGCATCTCACTGCACCCCTCAGGCTTCCCCATGCCCCTCTGCATCTCACTGCACCCCTCAGGCTTCCCCATGCCCCTCTGCATCTCACTGCACCCCTCAGGCTTCCCCATGCCCCTCTGCATCTCACTGCACCCCTCAGGCTTCCCCATGCCCCTCTGCATCTCACTGCACCCCTCAGGCTTCCCCATGCCCCTCTGCATCTCACTGCACCCCTCAGGCTTCCCCATGCCCCTCTGCATCTCACTACACCCCTCAGGCTTCCCCATGCCCCTCTGCATCTCACTGCACCCCTCAGGCTTCCCCATGCCCCTCTGCATCTCACTGCACCCCTCATGGACCCCCCATCATGTCTGTTCATGTGCCTCACATCACTCCCTCACACCACAGGGCAGCCCATCATGCCCTTCATGCTGCCCCTCATGCTGCTCTCGCACAAGCATGCGCCTTTGGTTCTTACCGCACCCCTCAAACCCCCCTCTTCATGTGCCTCACTCCCTCGCACCACAGGGCGGGCGCATCATATTCTTCCAGAGCCTCTCCCTGCTCGGCTACTGCCTCGTGCCTCTCGACCTTGCCGCCCTGCTCTGCCTCCTCACCACTGCCAAACTCGTCCGCATGGCGCTCGTTTTAGTCACATTCGCTTGGAGCTCCTCTGCTGCATACCCCTTTGTGGCCAAGGCTGTTCCGGAGACGCGCAGGGTGCTGGCAGTCTACCCTGTCTTCCTGCTCTACACGGCTATTGGCTTCCTTGTGCTCGCTAATGACTAGCATACCAGACCGGACCCTGCAACGCTCGTGCCCTCAGGTCAAACCATAGTCATGCAAGTCCCTAGCCATGACCAAGTCCATTCTGCAAATCGTCATCCTCGCAGCTCTGCAGCGTTGTTTGCAGGATAGCTTATCGCAGCTGCACAGGAGAGCGCAAGCTGGAAGGTGGAGCAGAGCCGGTTTCAGGAAGGAGAACATATATTAGTTGCTGCCATTCTTTTTGGCATGGTTGTGTATAATCTGCAGCCATGCAGCCATGTAGCTCTGAATCTACATTTAGCATGAATACATCCTGTTTCCATGAGTCTCTGGTGGATGGTCAGCACACAGCATTGCCCAAGTGGCAGTGTCCCATGTTTGAGAGGAAATGTTGCCATGTCAGATGGGATTGGCCTCTGTTGCGTGTTCCTGATTGCATGAAATAATGAACTGAATGTAAAAGGTCCCCCTAATCTGTGATGTTTGAGGTCCTCCATTTCCTGTATATCTGCAACACTGCAGCATGTGCTTCCCTGGTGTGTGTTACCTATTTTCAGTCGTCCATGCTGAGACCTAACCAGAGCTACCATCACTATCTAGGCAATTAGATATCCATCACTATCTATCCATCACTATCCAGAATATAAATCTAAAATCATTCGGGCAACGATAGAGCGCGCCACGGTCTTCGGTCTTGTGGGCCCCTCTTGGCCACTAGGGGGGTTAACCCCTAGTGTTCACCCACACACCGACGCTGAGGTGGGGACCCTTCGTGTGGGACCGCAGCCCCTCAGCGACACCGAGCTGGGCTGCAGCGTCCTACAGCCCAACTCAGACCAGGTGGCGTAACACCTGGCCCGGCAAGGCGGGGTGAGGAGGCCATCAGAGTTCAGGGGGGGCCCCCCCATCCCTCGTCAGAACACTCGCTCACACACAGCGGCGCTTCAGGCGCGGGCCGCGTCCGACCCAACGCCGTCAGCCACCCCTGCCGCACAACGCCAGTGCCGCAGTCGGGGGCGGTCTTCAGGTCTTGGACCCTGCCAGCTGCAGAGCGACACACACCACAAGACAAACACAACACCCGATCAAGTGAAACAGGCACGAGAATACATGCAATCCGAAAAACAGAAAGAAAGCAAGACAAATTCAGAACGAAAGCAGGCGGAAACGAAGAAGGGAAGTGGTATACCTGCCTGCAGCAATGGAGCAGCACCTCACCTCCGTCCGTGCCGCTTGCCGTGCCGTCCTCCGCACCGTGCGCCATGCTAGAGGGAATGGAAGGGGGTGGTTAACCAGAGGGACGCCTCTTGATGCGCGCGCGCTGCCCCATCGCCCTCCTCGCCCCACGAGTAGACCTAAAGGGAACGGAAGGGGGGTGGGGGGTAGAGAGACAAACGGGAGAAACAGATCAAGTGAAACATGAACAAACAAATACATGAAATGCGAAAAACCGAAAGAAAGCAAAGCGGAAATGGACAAGGGAAGAGAGGCTTACCCCGATGCGATGGAGCAGCACCTCACCTCCATCCGTGCTGCCCGCCGAGTCGTCTCCGCACCGTTCGCCGTGCTGAAGGGGAATGGAAGGGGGGGGTTAACCAGAGGGACGCCTCTTGATGCGCGCGCGCTGCCCCATCGCCCTCCTCGCCCCACGAGTAGGCCTAAAGGGAATGGAAGGGGGGTGGGGGGTAGAGAGACAAACGGGAGAAACAGATCAAGTGAAACATGAACAAACAAAAACATGAAATGCGAAAAACTGAAAGAAAGCAAGACGGAAATGGACAAGGGAAGAGAGGCTTACCCCGCTGCGATGGAGCAGCACCTCACCTCCGTCCGTGCTGCCCGCCGAGTCGTCTCCGCACCGTGCGCCATGCTAGAGGGAATGGAAGGGGGTGGTTAACCAGAGGGACGCCTCTTGATGCGCGCGCGCTGCCCCATCGCCCTCCTCGCCCCACGAGTAGACCTAAAGGGAACGGAAGGGGGGTGGGGGGTAGAGAGACAAACGGGAGAAACAGATCAAGTGAAACATGAACAAACAAATACATGAAATGCGAAAAACCGAAAGAAAGCAAAGCGGAAATGGACAAGGGAAGAGAGGCTTACCCCGCTGCGATGGAGCAGCACCTCACCTCCGTCCGTGCTGCCCGCCGAGTCGTCTCCGCACCGTTCGCCATGCTGAAGGGGAATGGAAGGGGGGGATTAACCAGAGGGACACCTCTTGATGCGCGCGCGTGCCCCATCGCCCTCCTCGCCCCACGAGTAGACCTAAAGGGAATGGAAGGGGGGTGGGGGGTAGAGAGACAAACGGGAGAAACAGATCAAGTGAAACATGAACAAACAAAAACATGTAATGCGAAAAACTGAAAGAAAGCAAGACGGAAATGGACAAGGGAAGAGAGGCTTACCCCGCTGTGATGGAGCAGCACCTCACCTCCGTCCGTGCCGCCCCCCGAGTCGTCTCCGCACCGTTCGCCATGCTAGAGGGAATGGAAGGGGGGGGTTAACCAGAGGGACGCCCCTTGATGCGCGCGCGCTGCCCCATCGCCCTCCTCGCCCCTAGTGAAGCCCTGAAGGGAAGGAAGGCGGGGATTAAGCAGAGAAGTCCTCTTGCTGCCCCGCCGCGCTGCCCTCTCGCCCTCCTCGCCCCACGTGAAGGTCCGTACTGACGGAAGTGGAAGGGGGAGGAGTGAGGACGGAGTCGGGTCAGGAGGACGTGGGACAGAGGCATGGCAGAGGGCAGACCCAAGGGCCAAGGTGCTGTGAGGTATGTGAGTGGCCGCAGAGGCCGAGGGTGGGCCCCGTGCTTCAGGACAAGACCAAGAGAGAGCTGGGCCCCCCCCCACTCTCAAATGATCGAGTCCGTCAGCCCCTCGTCAGCTGCATAGCGCTCACTGTCCAATCAACAGCACCCCTCCTTGTGATCGCCTCAATTCCAGCACCCCGTCAGTCTCTCCATCTCGTTCCTCCGCCTCACCCCATGGACGCAGGGGAAGAAGCCAGCACACGTGGGAGAAAGACGCCTCGTCGCAGCGCTGCCTCCTTGCCGCCTCCTCGTCGCGGCTTGCGTCCGAGCGCGTGGTCAGCAGGGCGGGTAGGAGGCAGCCACACGCCTGTGACTGCCGGCCGTGCGTCATCCCAACATGCTCGTGCTTCCGCGAGCCTAGGAGAGAGATGATTAAGGAGAAAATGAAGGAGTGAAGAATGTAGCGATACGGAAATTGGACATATAATGCAGCAATACGAAAATCTGACAAAGAATGCAGCGATACGAAAATCTGACAAAGAATGCAGCGATACGGAAATCTGACAAATCATGCAGCGATACGGAAAGAACGAGTGGCGAGAGAGGAGATAGTGGCAATGACGGCGAAGGCGAGCAGTGAAAGAACGAGTGTGAACAAGTGGTGAAAATATCAAGAGAAGAGAGATTTCTTAGCCGTATTCAGGAAGGGTCGAAGCTGCATGAAGGCGCGCTCGCCAGCTTTGTCTTGCCGTTCTTCCGGAGGCGAGTAGTGATCAGCAGGGCAGCAGCACTGGAGCCTGCCGTGCGTCATCCCACTGCCGCCATCCCACAGGTGCAGCAGCCTCCGCCCCTCCAGTCGCTGCTCCTCCAGTCAAGCAACCCACCCCAACCAAGCTACCCAGCACTCGCTCCCCAACACTCTCTCCCCAGCACTCACTCCCCAACACTCACTCCCCAACACTCGCTCCCCAACACTCGCTCCCCAACACTCGCTCCCCAACACTCGCTCCCCAACACTCGCTCCCCAACACTCGCTCCCCAACACTCGCTCCCCAACACTCCCTCGCAGCACTCGCTCCCCAACACTCCCTCGCAGCACTCGCTCCCCAACACTCCCTCGCAGCACTCGCTCCCCAACACTCCCTCGCAGCACTCGCTCCCCAACACTCCCTCGCAGCACTCGCTCCCCAACACTCCCTCGCAGCACTCGCTCCCCAACACTCCCTCGCAGCACTCGCTCCCCAACACTCGCTTCCAACACTCTCTCCTTAGCACTCGCTCCCCAACACTCGCTTCCAACACTCTCTCCTTAGCACTCGCTCCCCAACACTCTCTTCCAACACTCTCTCCTTAGCACTCGCTCCCCAACACTCGATTCCAACACTCTCTCCTTAGCACTCGCTCCCCAACACTCGCTTCCAACACTCTCTCCTTAGCACTTCTCCCCAACACTCGCTCCCCAACACTCGCTCCCCATCACTCGCTCGCAACACTCGCTTCCTCCATGTCTTGCCTCCGAGCGCGTGGTCAGCAGGGCGGGTAGGAGGCAGCCACACGCCTGTGACTGCCGGCCGTGCGTCATCCCAACACGCTCGCGTCCACCTCAGCCATGCGCCGTCCACGTCAGCTACGCGCCCATGCGCTTCCCCTCCCGTTGCATGCGCTTGCGTTGAGTGCCCTGCATGGAACAACAAGCACGGTGGTGAGTCGAGGACCCGTGAGCAAGCAAGGAAGCGAACGAAGCAAAGAAAAAAGAGACAACAGCAACAAGGAAAGGCGGGAACACGACGAGCGACGTACCGTGTGTGAGTATGGGCGCTGGAGGTGATGCAGGCTGCAGCAAGGCGGGGCCTTGTCAGTCCCGAAGGTGGCGCGTTGAAGGCGCTGCAGCAATGCACGAGCGCGTACCCACGCCCGTGCACACACCGTGCTGCAAGCATGCACTCACCAGTCGAGCCCGCCCCTGCCGATGCCGCGTGTGCCTCACACACTCGGGCCTCTGCCCGCTTGCCTCAGGGCACTGCCCCTAGCTAGCCAATGTCCAATCCAAGCCTCAATGTCCAAGCCAACCAAACCAAGCCTCAATGTCCAAGCCTCAATGTCCAAGCCTCAATGTCTGCTGCTACTGCCGGGCGACCTGCACAAGTGACAGAGCACAGCATCAGTCCCTGGCTATTTAGAAATGACAAAAAGGGAAAGAAACAAAAAACGAACACTCGGACTTCAAGAAGCACAAGGTTGACAAACGGCATTTACTTACCAGGGCGGGATGATCGGTGGG